CACAGTCGAACAATAGGTGCGATTGCCCTGTGGCCCCAATTATGAGTGAGCTTCTCCAGTAATTTAATGGCAGTACAGATGAGATTATTTCTCTCAGCGGCTCAGTAGGTGACCTCTAATGGTGGTAATTCTGAAAATAAATTCACCTTCATTTTTGAAGAGGCTGTCTAACTACATCAACAGTCATATTTTCTGAAATGACCTTGTGGATTCCAGGTTCCTGTAACATTATTTGCAGTTGTGCTTATAATCAGATTAAACTGAATTTGTGGCTTAACAACTGTGTTTTGAGCTTTTATTTTTCTGATAAATATAATAAATATGAATAGCAGTGTAACAGATAGCTCACTTGTGAGCTTGATGAGAATAAGATGGACCTGATAACTGTGTAAATATTGATATACCTCAGAGCTTTGGAAGCGTTTTATTAGTCTGTTGCCTTTAGCAACCGAGCAAATTAAATAGCTAAATATGCTAATGTACGTTATCTGAGGCCTTCCTGTTGTCCTTCCATCCCTCAGTAGCGGAAAAGTACAGAAATGATTGCATTATTTTGCTTGCCAGAAGGATAAACATTAGAACTGAGCACATTTTTTGTTTTGTATTCTTACCCAAGTAAAAATACTTTTAGGATGGCATAAACCTCTTATCGGTACGAGCATAAGAGAGATGTTTGTCTGCCAGCATCAGCCCCTGCATGTTCACGTCTGTGTCAGTGAAAGTGGGTGCTCAGTAGAGAAGTAACGTCAGTATTCCACAGACATTATCTAGGTTTGAAAAGAAAAAGAACAATAGCTGCATTATCCTGCAGACAGAGGGGTCACTGTCATCACAGGCTGCTTCAGAAACACAAGAAACACTAATGGCAGCAACTTGACGCCTACACAGTAAATGTAAGAAGCTTTTCTCAATGTGCCACGAACAGATGTTTATGAACCTGAACCTAAAATAAACATATGACAATTGTATATCACAGTCAGCCGCAAGATAACAAGGGGCTGATAATTAGCACAGAAATATTTTCCTCTCCTATATCCCTCACTAACTTCCATTATGACATTTGTAGCTTAGAAGAAAAAAGGATAAAACAGCTTCACTATTTAGTGATGTAAAAATACAGAATTGCACCACAGTGTTTTTCTCTTAATAAAAAGATTGCCCCTAATCCTGATGGATTAAATCTTGCCAGATTGTTAAATTTGTGCAGGAAGTGTTCAAATCTTTTAATATCAAGACACTATTTCATGTTTTCTTTTGAATTACTGCTGCATAAATGTTGCCTCAATAGTTGGAATTAAGTGTTGACATATTAGACACCCCAAATTCTAGGAGGGAGGACTCTCCAAGCCCCTTCCTGGTTACTTGTGCCTCACTATGTCTGAATGAACCCTAGGCTGAGAAATTCTGGTCTGATTCTGCAACCCCATGCTAATTTTTAACCATCTGACCCTTATTTATCAGGCAGAACTGGCACCGACAAGAGGCTGTTTTTCCATTACAATAATTCACAGAACGTTTCCAATCTGGACGGCAAACTCACTAAAATATGTGATAATGATAATAATCTGTGTACAATAGAATGGTGGCATTAAATCAATTTGGGCTCTTACAGCCAAATTTTCTCTCTGGGATGGCCTTGAACTGAACTCTTCAGTTGGCTGCTTTTTCCACTGGCCAGAAGTTTATGGACGGCCTTGCACTAAAACTGGTTAGCCAAACTATTATAACAACAGCCGGATCATCTGGATAGATCATTTAACTTCATTTGAGATCCTTTCTGTATCAAATCAGGGATATTTCTTAGTAGGTGAGCTATTGAGGTGTTCCTTGAAGCATCTTATTACATTGACAAGAGCCCCAAAGTACTATTTTCATCTCTTGCAGGTGTTTATGTCACACTGAGCTTACTCACTGCCAGATGGAACTTCACAAGAGTGGTATCCATCTTCTCATGTCACCCCTGAGAAGGCTGCGAAATATCCTTTTTTGCTGTGGATCTTTTTTTCTTTATTATAAATACCAAAAAAAAAAAAAAAATCTTATGTTTATTTTTTTAAAGCTACAGCAACAACATAACAGGCCTAAAGAGAAGTATATCATTAGGAGACGGTATTTCCATATTTGACTTCATTAGACTTTATTATATTCACTTGACGTGTGCTCACAGTGGTGGGTCCAACACTGTCATGTACGATTCATCTGGTTTTTTTACAGCTGAAGGTTCAAAGTTATACTAACATGAGGAAAGGGATGTTTTTCTCATGGTCAGACCGAGATGAAGTCTAACAGTCTAACATCTGGATTTGTACTGAATAAAAGTCTGTTTTCGTTCGTTTAAGCCGGGTTTTTACTCTTTTTCCAGTATCTACGCCCTGTAAAGCTACCATGCTGGATGATAATAACTCTCTCCCAGAACCCCCCTCTGCCGCTCAGGTTAGGGAATCAGTAGGCAGCCTCACAGGGGGGACACAAAGCTCCCTAGGCATAAATCACACACCCACACTATTTTCCATCTTGTCTCTCCCTTCCATCCTTTTTTCTCTATCCCCCTCCTTTCTTCTCTTACTGTCCTCCCCTTCCCCCCCTCTTCCCTTTGCTCTTCTCGCTTTGCTTTTCCATTCCTGTTTTCATCATGTTGCCATAAATCCCTCGTTATTGCTCATCCTGACTCTTTCTCCTACTTAACTCTGTATTTTTCTCCGACTTTATTTCCATTATTGTCTTTCCTCCTACTCCTCCCTCCTCCCATCGTCTCTCTCCCTACCCATCTCTCGCCTCCTTTTTTTTCCAAATTTGCACCGCACCATCCTTTGTTTCAAACTGCGTGAGGGTGAGTGGCCACCTGCAGAGTACAGCATGGGTGTGAGAATCAAACTCTCTTTTTTATTCACTGTTAATAAGACTATGAGGCGTGGAGGTCGAAAGGTGAAATCGAAGGAGAGAGACACGTGGGGAACAGAACAGATGAAAAACTGGAATGTGCTTTTTATTGCGGTTTTTCATCATGGTCCGAGAAACTGGAATTATTTAAGAGAAATGACCACAAATTGTGAGTGCGCTTCTGTGCTTGTTTAGAGTGGTGTATTTGCACGCACTGTGTGGGTTGTGAGTGTGCATGAGTGTACTTTTGTGTGCACACATGGGGCTTTAATTCCTGCCTCACTATCTAATTACTTAAATTGTGCTTACAGGTCTTATTGTACTGCACACTTTCCCTTAGAGAGCTATACCCTGTCTTCCTGCTTGCCTGCTGCATTAGCGGTAGAAATAAGCACATTAGGCAATTTTGTGCTCCATAATAAGTACCGCACCTGAGGGATGTTTTTCAGTAAAAAAAATGTCTGGACAGAAAGAAAAACAGCTTTCTAGCTCAATCGCACTCCGTCTTTCTTTTCCCTCTCCCTCTATTTGTTCCCCCCTTCTCCTCCATCCCTTTGCTCGCACCAGGAGAGATGAGTTTCTCGATAGAAAGGTCCTTGTTTTTGTGCCGCGCCCTCACTGCTGATTGCTCTGTGATTTTACAATTATTAGTTGAAAGGACAGTTCGCCCCTCCAGGAAATCGTTTCTCTCAGCTTTCTGGCCGATCAACAGGTCAGATAGCCTCGTGTCACCTGAAACAACGGCTCTTAGAGGAATACTATGGAATTTACCATGACCACCTCTATTTTACACTCACCACTTAGGTGGTTGTGCAAAGATGGGCTTTATTTACGCAGCCATCCAGCCTGCACCTGCAGCGCTGGTTGTCTCACGAACGCCATAGTAGCACAGCAAACTTGTGTGTCCATATGAACCAAGTGCAGCCATTTTAAAACCTGAATCAGAGACTTGCAAGCTAACTTCTGTGAGACTAATCAGAGCATAGTTCATCCTGTCAATAAAGCTGTCTTTGCTCCCTGTTTTATTAAGAAATCAAAATAGTTTTCCTGAGGATCCTTTTCTTCTCCAGCGTGTTTGTGTCTCATTAGATGGTAACCCAGGTCTGCAAACTAAGAGTGTTCAGTGTCACAAACATCATCATACTCTGAACTCCACAGACCGTTAAGTAGGTCAATAGCTGATGTGTAGAGGCACAGTACTGATCATTAAGTTAGACGATGGTTATATCTTTGGTGCCAAAACTAAAAAGTCATTTTAACATCAAGTCAGCAGGGGACAAAACAAAACCGATTGCCTATTAATATTCAACACAGTTTAAATCAAACTAATAAAAGAATTAAACTTCTGTTTGGCAGATACTCCAGTTATTGGAGGTATCCAAAGAAATATTAGTTTCTGCCAGCATGGCTGAACTCATGTGTATTATTATTTAAATTTCAGAGTTGTACTTTGTGAAGTTGTTGCATTAGACATATGTGATAGCAGTCAGTGTGTGTTGTGTGGTTTACTTCAGGGCACTTTAACAGCACACTGATTTATACAGTAATTACTATCATACGTTCATCTCTTCACATTATCTGTCTGACAGATGCAACTGATTGTTTCTGTAGGTTTGGAAAAGCTTCAAATGATCAGTGATGATTCATAACTTTCTTTGTATTACCAGTTATCTCTAACTGAAGCTTCAGACTTTGTTAGCTTGGTTTATGTTGAGGTGGCTTCATGGTGTCTGGACAAGGGTCAACATATCTAGCTGCCAGTCAATTTTGCTTACTTGTTTCTCATTTGCAATCAGACCACCCACACCCTCTGCATGACGTAACTCACACATCCGCCATCGACAGATTGTCCATTTACACAGTCTGGAAAACTGTTCAGGCTTTTTAAAGGGATTTTAGAAAGCTTGTGTGACCAACTAATCAAGAGAATGGCTGCGATCGAGCTTTGAGTAAGTCTAAGGTATTGTTGACTTTTTCATCTGTCTCATACACTTGTAAACTTACTCAACTTATAGTAACATCAATACATCCTTTAATACCAGCATCTCTTACTTGAGCTTACAGGTGGCTCTTTCATAGGTAGACTAATATATAATTTTACACACTTACTTGTATGCACTTCTTGCTGTGAACAAGGGTCTTGACTTGATGAATCTTTGTGGTCCATTTGCCCAGAATCGTCGTTATCCTGTTGTTCTTGGTGATCTACAAAAGACAGCCAATTTATAGTCATACAATGATATTTCATTATTATGAACACACAAGTAGACCAGACCCCAGACTGAATAGGGCAACAGTAGTGTAAGAAACTGTCCTTTAGTTGACTGCTCAAAGACAACCAAAGAAATCTTCAGTTCTTAGATATAAACATTTATTTAGGTCACATGAAAAGTTGTACAGCGCTGGACTCCCAATGACAGAGCTCCTAGGATCTCCATCACAACGAATGCCCAATTCTGGGTACAATTCAGACAGACCAACCACAGTTCACACAGTCCTACTAAAATGTGCTTTGAAATATGTGTGTGTCGTTGACCTTGAGGTGTGTAACTACTGTAGCAAACCCGTCTGATAGAACAAAGAGAGTCTTGTGGCTCATCAGATTTCTCCTTATCAAGCTAGACACCACACTGTTCTGATTAAATGAAAACCACCCATGAGTAAATGGAAACATTCAGTAAATTGCATTAGTTCAGTGAAAAAGTACTAATCTTACCTTTGCAAAGTAAAAGACAATTATAACAGTAGCATTGTTCAACATTGCTCTAGGTTTGAGGATTATTTGTGCTTTGACGACAAGAGTTCAGAGTTGCAGTGGCAGCAGCTGCACCTCTAAACATGTCTGAGCTGAAATAATTCTGCCATATTTACTCGATTCGGAGGGAAGAATTTCCATCCTGATACCCCTGCTAGCTGCTTCGGAGAACTCAAGGACAAACAAACTTTCACACAACAACAGAAGACTCATTAATTGGGAGTTCTCAGGCTCTACTTCTTTTCTGTAGAATCATTGCCAATAGGCAAAGTCAGACATGCAGAAAGGAAGGAAATAAAGGAAACAGCTGATGAAAGCAGCGCACAGGGACTGTAGCTGTACTGCTGACAGGCACTATCTCAAGTCATTTGGAAGAAAAATCCCCCCAATGATTACCTATAAATTAGCTGTTGTTGGCACATTTTCTTTTGTTCACATAAAGCTGTATTGTTTTTCAAATTACATTGCCATTAAGCAGAATGCACACTGTCCTGGTGGCGAGGGCAGAATTAGATCATTATAATGTGAAATATCACATTCACACTTCTTGTAATTACGAGGCAGTCAACAAACAATATGAAGACTGGAACACACTCAAGCTCAAGATATATACAATATGGGGGAACATGTTCAAGGGCCACACATTACCATGGGACTTACACTCCATTAACTTTAGTAAGGGCCTCTGTTTCGGTGGATTGTAGGAGGGCGAGGTGTTCCAACTCGTGCATGCATCTAATGAGGCGAGACGCAGGGATGGAGAAAGTGTGAAGAGTGTGTTTGTTGCAACATAATCACTGGTCCCTGGGTAATGACAAAAACACGAAAGAGAGCGCGAGCGATAGAGATGAAGCAGAAACGTGTGTGTGGTTTGTTTCTGTATGTGTGTTTAGAGTACTACACATGTTCTCACTGATATTTCTCACAACTTAAGAGTGGTATAGCTTCTGAAAACTGCACCAAAGGGAAGATATGAGTGCGCTTTTCGTCAAGTGTTTTGTCTATCTTCAAAGCTACTTAAGGGGAAATTTAAGGGCAACAAAAGGCAGCATCAGGGCTGTTAAACTATACTGCAGCTCTTGTTTTAAAGTCTATAAGAGTGATATCAGTGCTAGTCAATGGGAAAATGTGTGCAGGAGATACAAGACTGAAATATAGGACAATGATTCCTCTTTCATAAAAACTGCAGTTGGTATGTGTGCCTCTGCGAGTGAGCTGGGTACAAAATTTGGCATTGCCTGAATAAAATATATCCCATGGGCCTCTCTGCTTGGCTTTGCTGGGGGGAAAGCCTGGAGCATCTTTTCAATATCACCCCGAGAGAGAAGAAGAGGATTCATGAAGGGATTAAATGAATTGTCGCCCTTACTCCTCTCTGTCTTCACCACCAATAAGAAGAGGCTCACAGGGGCTCTCTGGGTGCAATACTGTGAAGGGGCTTGGTTTCGATGGGCTCATGAGTTCGGATGAGTTTTTATGTTGTTTGCTAGCTCGGGATGGACTAAATCTGGAGTGCTGCCATGGGGCGAGATTTTACCAGAGTCTCTGAAAGACTCTCTGGAGCGCACTGCATTGATTACACCTCCATGAAACATTACAACTGTAATTCTTTACAAACCCTTCACCTTCATCATCTGGCTGTCAGTATTTGCCAGCTACAATGTGATTTGTAAGGAAGTGCTCAGCAACAGAAGATGATTGAAAAACCAAAAAAAGGACTTCCATTATGCTTCTTTTTTTCCACTCTAAAATCCATATATTAAAGCCTCGCAGCAAAAAAAAAAAGACATATTGTGCTTGAAAGAATTCTTCATATCAATCCCAAGCCTTTGTTATTTTAACAATCTAACATACGATATAAAAAAACAGGTTACTTTGGAGTATTTTTCCTTTATCTTTTTACAGCCCCAGAACTAAAAGACCATTAAATCAACTTGAGTCTAAGATGCGCTGACAAGGTGTTGCTTTCATTGACCCCATTTCCTGTTTGCTAATAAATCAATACAACTAGATACTGGATGAATTCTCGGCAGAAAAAGAAGAAAATCCAGCATAGACTGCGCAAACACATTAATTTCATGGTGGACTGTCAACTCATGCTGTATAAATGAATCATGGTGCATAACCAAAGCTCACAAATCATGTGTTCATGCTGTTCATGTTAAACAGGGTTGGAGCGGTGACAATAAAGTTTCTAATGAAAACCTTCACAGACTGGAGACTGAAGTGGCCATCAGAGAACAGGCACTGAATGGTGAATATCAAGTATGACTTTCACTTCTTTGACATGTCAACAAAGACTGAAAAGGAGGAAACATTTGTAGAAGTTGGATTTTTGGCAGGACTGTTGTATTTGATCACATTACACTGCACAGTTGGTCACAACATTGTGGCTGGTTGGCACAACTTAGTATTTCAGTTGCAAATCCATATGTCAAGATGCCATTGTGTTTTTAGATGCTGCACACCATTTGCAACGAGGAAAAAAAAAAAAGTGAAGTTGGTGAATCCTCTGGTGGCCGTGCATTCATGGTGCAAGATTGGGGCGGCAGTAGCTCAGGAGGGAGAGTGGTTGTCCAATAAATGGAAGGTTGGCGGTTCGATTCCCCCCTATCCTGAGTCTGCCCGTTGTGTCCTTGGGCAAGACACTTAACCCACCTTACTCCCAGTGTGTGTCTTCCACAGGTGTATGATTGTGAGTGTTGTGTGGTGGTGGTCAGAGAGACCGTGGGGGCAAAATGGCAGCCACGTTTCCGTCAGTCTGCCCCCCTTCCTTGTGCTACTAAGGTAGTTTACCACCACCAAAGTGTGACTGTGTGAGTGAATGAATCATATATCCAATGTAAAGCGCTTTTAGGGTCTCTGATAAAGCGCTATATGAAATCTAATGCATTATTTATTATTCAAAATAATACTAAAGGAAGACCAAAATTTCAAACATGCTAGAAATTCATACTGCTACTCAGAAGCAGCTGATCTGTGACTGGCCTTTGTGCCTACTTGTGCACTTCACCAAAGAAGTTAGGGAGATGAAGTTTTGGATCATCTTCAAGAACAGTTGTTCAGCACAGGACTGCATAAAGCTATGCTTGGATGCACAAAAACCTACAGTGAAACTGTTTGCATGGTCATGTTAGCTGTTGCAATGCTGACCATGCTTTCCATTCCAGCCAGTGAGCATGCTCTACATAGAAAAAGAGTTCAACTACAGCAAAGGGATGTCTGGAACTGCTAATTACTGACAATTTAATTTTACATTTGTAACAGGAGAAGTTGATGTATTTGCATTACTGTCAGTCTGCAGTGAAAACAAACACATAAAATCATAGTCGTCTATTCATTGGGGGTACTCAGGTAAAGGCCAGAGCACAACATACACCAAAGGATCCACCGTCTATGGACTGTAAAAAAAAAAATATTCACTGACTTTTTCAGGGATCAAATAAATTACACTAAACGAGCAAAATTTGCAATGTGTATCATCCATTAGAAAAGAGCATCTGGAGCTGCTACAACATGCAGAGAGTAAGCATTATGTTTCAAATTAAATGCAGTTCTCTTCTAAATACAGGGGAAAAAAAATGTAGCAGATGGTTTTGGCTTGAAGCTTTAAAATCATCGCTGGAAGCTGGATGCTGAGCTACTCCCTGTTGTGTGGTTAATTACACTATGATATGAAAGACCCGAGACCTGCTGATGACACAGGGAGGACGGGAGGAGCATGAGGAGGAGGAGGGGAGGAAGTAATAACGTAGGCCGTAAAGCCATCAAAGCTCCAGTAAATGTTGACTGAGTGTCCTTGAGATCACTGTGGAAGGGAGAGGGGAGGATGCATCTGTGTGTGTTCATAGCACACATCTATAAGTCAACATGTGCCTATGTGCATTCCAGTGACTGTGAGGAGCCTTATGTGGATGGATCCATGAAAGATGATAGGTCAATGAGAGATAAGTGTCCAAAGACGGAGGACAACAAGTCTGATGTAGCTGAGAGGGATTTCTCACTTTGCAGATGACACTTTCTTCTATCAATACATGACACTTTCATCATTAAATGGAGCTTCATGTTCATAAACCTCACTCAGCCATCGCTGTGAGAACTTTCTTATGCTGTCTTCAAATGTTTCGTGTAATTACTTAAGCTCGGAGAAGAATGTCTCACTTGTTTAATTAGCCAAGCTTTTACAAAATGAAAGCTGTCATTTTATCTTTCAGCTCAACATCACACATTTAATTAACCTTGTGTGTGAAACACTCAGATGTTGTTCCTCACTGTGAGTGCTGTAGCTGAGGTAAGTGATTTTTTTGTTGTTAAGAAAACAAAGTTTGAACGCGAGTAAAACGGCGTACGCTGAAACCCTTCCTTGTGCTCGTTTTCGTGCCCTAAATCTTAGCAAGCCTGCAGGGTGTGAATACAGTAAGCAACCAACTCATCAAGCAGTCAGCACATGTGCAAATGCAGATAAATGAACATCAGTGTATGAGTTTATGAGTGCGACTTCAACTGCTTGCACCTTGCTGATCACCACCTAAACCTCCAGTGTGCGTGTGTGTGAGTTAATATGCATTTCTATGTGTGTGTGGTGACAGGCCCGCCACTCTGTTTATCCCATAATCCGCCCTCTAAGGGCGAGTGTGCTAAACACAGATTGTGCTCCCCATGTAATCTACAAGGGCATCATCGCCAGCATACGTGCAGGCACATATGCAAACACACACAAACATACTAACACACACTGGGCGGCTTGATGCTATATCTGACAACAATAAATCTACCGTATACTTAGTTGCACCATCGCATTCCTAAATGTGGTGAAAAGACTAAAAACAGTCAATAAAAGAGCACAACATAATCAGAAGCACCTGCTTTTGTGTACAAATGCAAACTTTCACACACACATGCCAAGTCCCAGGGGGCTCTCAGAGGCATCTGATAATTTCATTCAACCAATCAATGCTCATCAGCCCACCAACTGGGTGAAAGCAGAGGAGGCTCTTAGAAAACATGTGCTCCTGACAAGAGCAGACACACATTTTCTCTCTCTAACACACACACACTACAAAACTCTCTTGTACGCACTAATTGCATTGTGAAGTTGAACCCATGCGCATACACACGCACACACGCTCTACCTCAAAGAATATGAGTAATGAGGGATTTATATGCAACTTACTCTTTATGCAAAATCTAGCTTGGAGTAATATAGAGGAAAACAAAAACACAAGGACATTCAGGGAGCTTGTTCGTAAGCTTCCCTTTGCCTCATTTTCAGCTCAATTTCAGCTGTTTAGGATTTATAGTTTTCATTCTTCTTGCTTGTTGGGAAATGTGTAACATTTAGTTTTACATCTGGATGCTGAAACTTAAAACCGCTTCTCTTCCAGACACAGCAGGCCGCAGCGATAGTAGATCAGCGTGAATCGAACTGTGAAGAACATTACTGACTGAACAGTTCTCGCTGAAGCAAAACTACATCACAGGAGCGATGTGATTCAGTACATCCATGTAGCACAAATGACGTCCAGGGAGATTAATGAGTGGACTCAACACCCACACTGCTTTGGGTATGAGCTCCATTCACACATACAAATATAAGGAAGTGTGCTTTTGCTCATTAGTGTTTCTATCCCCGGGATCTGCAGCCACATGACAAATGAGCTGAGGGTGAAGAGAAGTCTCTCTCCATCTTCCTTCATCTTCCCTGCTCTCATATTTCCCCCTTCTGAGCTCTAAAAGCATCTCTGTCTGTCTCTTCTTCAATGTGGTCCCGGCTATGTCCCGTCTTGTTTTGTCTTACAAGAAGAACTTCGAAATCCTTTCCTCTGCCTTAAGCCCGTATTGTACGATGCTTGCACTAAAGTAGCTGGTTCCTCCTTTGTCTGATGCCTTTCATCGCCTTCTTCACCTGCGGGCCTCTGTGATCCCACAATGACTCAAACATTTACAGACCCCATCGTCCTAATTAGACTAAATAGAATATTGAGAGAGCACAAAAGGAATGCTTTTGCATCCATCGTCCACGAGGATGTTTTATGAGCACTTGGAATGTCACTGGCAATTTACCCGAGGGCCGGTCTCTTCTCCACAAAAAGCCCTTTTCAACAGAGCAGGTCTACATCACTCATAGTAGGCCATGCATCATCCCACGCTGTGGAGGACTGCAGAGTGCCTCAGATGCCAGGAGGCTAATGCTGTCTATCATACCCAGCTTTTGAGTTTCTATTATTCAAGCCAGTTCTTAATTTATAAATAAGAACTTGAAAGGCCGAGCTCCTGCAATGCAGAACATGTTTTCTCATAAGTGATGTAAAAATTTATGCTGCCCTTTTTACCTGTGATCTTGTAGATACCAAGATTAATATTACTGTGGAGAATCAAAGCTGTTCCTGTAGCTAGTATATGATTGGTTGTTGTTGAATTGTGAACGGTCTGGTCAACAATTAAGTGGAAAATTAGTTGCTTTTGAACATCTGTACATGGCAACGATTTTGGTTTCAGGTTACTGATATTTGGGGAGATTAAAGCCTAAAGCCCACAGGATCCGTGTTGAGCGCATTCCATCAGCGTTGAGTCTCTGCTCTGTCATGCAGAGCTCCTGATCGCCCACAGGATGCGTGTCTGGAGCGTGGCAGCAGTGTACAGCAGCCCTGGTCAGCTTGGCTCAGTATAGAGGAAACAACATGCTCACAACAGGTTTTTTTTGCCTTTCTGTGGTCTATTTACTGCTAATTTGGATATAATTCGGTGACTGTTGCGCTTCTACTGGATGTGAAAAATGAACGTGATTTTAAAGTGTCGTTTTTCGCAGGTTTCCTTGTGTTTACGAAAGTTAACTATGTTCCTTTATGCTGTGCTGTTACATTCAGACAGAGTCAACGGTTTAAAGTCATTGGGGGCCAAATGGATCAGGGATTGACCATCAGATTGTTATATGTTACTGAGAAATCCATAACCAGAAATTATTTTTTATCTACACAAACTAATACACAGCCGGGAGTTCATATATGGTGTTTTATTTTGAAATTTACCAGATGACATGCGCCATTTCCGACCGTGACATCTTGTCTAGATCTTCTCTTAATGCATGTTGGAAGCATAAAGCAGCGAAAATCGACTTGGTGCGTATCTTTAGCAGAGACACACTTCTGAGACGGCGCGAAGAGGCGTCCTGTGGGGTTTGCAGCATTGATTAGAATAGAAACCTATTTGCTGCATGATGCGCAACGTTGATGTTACGCGCTCAATACGGATCCTGTATGTTTCATCATTTAGGCTTATGAAAGTAGAATCCCTGCTATCACTACAAAAATATCAATAGCAACTCCATCCCAAGGTGCAAAATATAAAAAAAATATTATCTTGATCTGAAGCTGAATACTTCTTGCTGGCCATGTAGTATTTTGCATGGATCATATTACCCATTTCTTGCTCCAAGCCAAGGAAGAGAGTCCTGCATACAGTCTATCTTCAGAAGACAAGACAAGCTTTGAAGAGGCCCCCTTCTCTTTCCCCAATAGTTGTTCCAAGGACAAGGATATTTAATAAGAGGAGGGGAAATGGCCCAATGAACTAAACCCTGCCTGGCACTGTTACATCCTGTTCCACAGAACATAAAAGCCTATGTGTCCCAGTAATGTGCATAAAACAAGTGAAGCCCGCAGCGCTGTACTGTGCAGCGCTTGATAAGATAGAAAGAAGTAAGTAAATTACAGGCTTTTTTTGTCTGTCTGTGTTTGAGAGAGTAGGTGTGTTTCTGATTTGTTTTCTAGGTTGAAGAGGAAGAGTGCAGGAATATATGCTGCAGACAATCACCAAACAATAGTTTTATGTAGTTTATTGTTGCTCTGAGCTAAAAAGTGCCTGTCTCTGCTTATTAAAAGTGTCTAACAGATAATAACTCATTAATTTGGCTTGTGTTATTAGGCTACACTATGACCACAAGCACTCACTGTGGTTGATTAAATAAATCTTCACCACCTACACAGTACCTGCTTCTTTTCTAAACTCTATCAACATCCAAGGCTTACTTTGGATGTTTGTGCCACATGGGTATCTGCTTGTCTGTGCGCTGCATTTAGAACCAGTCATGCACAGTAGCATTAACAGGTGCAAAAGCCTGAAACCGAATGCAGGACAAAGAAAAGTGAACTCAGTTACACCTCTGCGTGGGAGGTTATACAGGAACCTTATCGTACTTCCATTTCTATTATCCTGGGCAGAATGCAAGCATGCTGGCGGCAGCTCCCACTCTTGTTTATTTGCCTTTTATAGATTTTTTTTCTCTCACATGTTTTATTTTTTTGTTTTCCAAAGGAACAAGGCACTCTGCCACCTGCCGAATTGTGGCGAAAAAGAACAGGGAGGGGGGCAGGTGTGTTTTACTTTTTCAGCTCGTGTGAGACTAAAAGACAATGTGTGTGTGTACGTGTAAATTAAGAAGAATAAAATGGATTTTCACAGCCGGTTAGTCAACCTGCTGCAGTCCAACAAGCTCACTGTACTAAAAAGGGGGATATCAGCATGATCAGGGGCTGTCTGGTAAAACACAAACTGCCTCTTTGAATCATCAGGTCCTGTTGTTGCGTCCTGGCTGATTGTTTTAAAAATGGACCCAGTGTTGCTGAAATCCGGCCAAAAGGGCTTTTACAATCACAAACAATTTTGGCCTATTTGTTTGTTTGCCTTGCCTAACTGTAAAAAACAAGTTTATGGCCAATAAAATAAAAAAAAAAGAGAAAATATTAGCAGGGATACAAATGGTAGGCTTACTGATTAATTTCCATACATGCAGAAAAAACAAAACCATCGTAAAAACTAAACTGAACAATAAATCTCTTCAGCTAACCACTCCAGCCTCTCCTGGCTCTTGTGGACTGGTACAAAATGAGAATTTACACAGCCATCACCTTTCAATAGTGATTCACACCCTGATGACCGCCACAGATTGCCACTTCACTCATGATGGGTAAATTGTGAATTAAGAAATAAAAATACAAATATTAGTTCAGCCACGTCTAAATTCAGCCCATCATTGTGACTGTTTAATTTGAAATTTTTAATGCATGATTTATTCATCAGTTGACAACACACTGTCACTAACAGTTACTTTTTTTGCATAAAAATAATCATTCACTGGTGTTTTTAAAGTTTTTCATGCGTTCAGGTGCCCTTTTAAACACTGTTCGAGGAGCTTTCTCCCAAACTTATGATGAAAACTTCTCTTAGAGGCAACATTTTCAGTGTTTTAAATAAGTTGTCAAAATAGATCGCTGCAGAGTTTATTTGCACAAAGCGTGAGGAGTCTATTTAGGAACATTTACAGCGGAGAACAGCGATTGTGTTGACTGCTGAATGCTTGCTGAATGTCCTCACTTTCAAACAAAAGCTGAAAATGAAGGCTTGAAACGGATCTACACCTCCAATGACAATTCACAATCACTTGTCTTTATGAGTGTTATTCTGAGTTGCTGCTGTGTATCATATAAGCATGAGCTGGTGTCTGTGCTATTGTGCAAAAGCAATAAACTTATTTTGCTCCTTTATTACGGATATACTGTAGATAAATACAAGACAGCATTTTGTACATGTAGAAAGGTTGATCCACTAAAAAGCTCATCACATGGTGACCTTTTCTGAAGCTGAATGGGGATCTGTCATAAGACTTCTCGTTGGTTAGTACCTATTAATTCAGCAGATGATAAATCTGCTCTTTGCCAAGTGCAAAAATGTGATGCTCTTGTACTTCATTGCATTCACTCTCTTTAATGTTTACAAGCTTTGTCAGTTGTTAGATTTCTTCATGCTTTCCACATTCCCATTGGGTTTAATTTACTGCAGTGTTTACATTGAAAGACTGAAACAACTGCGTAACCTTTGGTCGGTATTATTTTATTGTATGGGGATGCATAAACGAGAAAATATTTGTTAACAAGTACCGAATTTATTGTGTTAACAAAGTGCAAATGTTGATAACTGCTCTTGGGCATATATTATGTAGAGTAGATCAACTCCAGAAAACCACAAATTAACAACCTCTAAGCCCCGGTCCTTCTTCAGATGCTGTTGCTATGGCTTTCCTATTTTTGCATGACGCATACTCAGTTTCTGCTATGTTCTTTTTCTGTTCTTCAGCTTTCAAAAAAACAGTGTACTTAGAGACAATTTGGAGTACTTCCATGAATAAGAGGGAGATGATAGAGTGGAAAGCATGATATAGACTTCTTGAGGCAGACGGTTGATGGATATAGGATGGTTTTTTTTTCAAGAAGATTGCAGTTTGAGCTGAATGTAGAACACAGAGTCAATATTGAGCTCTTATTGCAATCAAAACATGTTCTTTATCATGAACATGAGAGGGGCCTAATGGTTGAAAGCTTTATACCCCATACTACATAAAAAACAGGATCTAGTATGAAAGTGTGCTTTTTTTTTCTTTCCAGTATAGGCAGTTGTTGCCTATAGCAGTATTCTCCTTGGCACTGGCTGAACACAGAAAAACAGTGCACTTCCATATCTGATAATCAGCCAGCAAGAGCAGCTAGCTGCTAGCATTCTGCCACAGGGACTTCCTCCATGGAGAGGGGGTTACATCTGTGAAAGTGGGATGGTGAAAAAAGACAGACACAAATCCGCATTTGAAGTGATTTTTCCAGATGAGAGGACATTAAAGAAACAGATCAGAGATTTACATTTCCCTTAAGCTGTGCTGGATGTTAATAGAGAGGAGGGGAAAGAAAACAAAAAGCAAGAGGGGAGTGGCATCTCCTTAACCAGTCAGACAGATCCTATCAGCGTGTTTGCTTGCTTTTGGGTCCTGCGGTGCCATCAGATAGCATTTGATAAGAGTGTGACAAGCTAAGGCAGCGAAGGTCAGGACATGAAGGCAATAAGGGCAACACCAGCACAACTTGCTTAGCTGGGGAGGGAGGTAGTAAGGGGCCGGGTCAAAGATGACGTGATCGGCCTGGGTGACAGATACTGTTAAAGATTTACATTTTTAAAGACAGATTGTTTGGCTTCTCTTTTGTCTAATTCGATTGTACAAATGTGCAAGAAACAGAAAAAGTACTGTTTGAGGGACATGTTGTTCAATGCAACCTGATAGCTTTTACAATTTAGTATATTTAAGCTGGTTAAAAACAAGAATGAATTTAGGGGCCTCTTTGTGAAAGGGGGGTGGGGGGTCTGTCTGTCTTCAGCTGGCCTTCATTTTTAATCATGATACCTCACACTGCTGCAGGGTCACGGGAGTTGCACTTTTAAGCCAATCTAAACAACGCCCATGACTCCACCAAGCCGATTCCAGAAATCCCTCTATTACGCACACATCGTCACGCGTCACCACTCCACTCAAATGAGTTACAAAGGAAGCAGAGTGAGGAAACATTAGGATGGGTTGGATGGACTGGATGCATAAAAATATTAGAGAATGATTTATGATCCATGTCGATAGCCGGATCTAAGCAAACAGCGCTTTGTTAGTAAAGGCCCTGTAAGCGTCTCTATCTACCATTCTGGTCCAATGGCTGACTGGGAAAACACTATGAATCTCTAATTTTTCAACATCAATCACAGAGCGGAGGATGTGATCCTGAGAAATTCTGCCAGTCACACCAAAATTCAAATCGTATTCATATCAGTGTAACAAAGTGGATAAACAGCAAAAACCAAAGATTAGATGAGACATTGGTAGGAGTACGATAAGAAAGACAAACAATGTCAGAATATTTTCAAGAGAGATTTATGAGAATGTCTGCTGAGAACTATTTCAATGACTCAAAACATTTGGCAATCAATGGATTATGAGCAGATGCTTAGAGGACGATATCACATGTGTTAAACAGTGTTGCCGCCATGTTAATTACTTCAATTAAAATGTGTGGCATATATTAATACAGCCCTGCCATCATCTCCCAGATACTGTCATTCAGATCTCTACTGTGAGGCTCGGGTTTTGCAAAGAGAGGCGGCACATTTAAACAAGCCTGGAGTAAAGTGATTTGATTCAGTTCATCTTAAAAGTTTACTTAAGTCTGTAGCAAAGACTATGTGACAGCTTTAAGTGTATACCAGTTACTCAAAAAGACTCTGGCTCCATCCATAATGCTATGAGCTATATGCTAATGCTCAGTTTGCAGAGCTAATAGACTTACAGCTTGGTTTAAGTTGATTTAATTCACTATCTGTCAATCAAAACCATAACCCAATATCTATGTCTTTTCATTGGTTCATTACAAATCCTCCCTAAAACATTTTTGTCTAAGACGACCATGTATATTAGATATTAATGTGTGTGGAATAATGAATCTGTACATGGCTTTAGCCCTAATATTTACCTTGTATTACTTTCATAAGAGGGTGTAGCGCTAAGAGTCAACATTACCTGAAAGTTCAGTGAAACACTAAACAACAAAATTGAACCTTGAGATTTTTATCCCACCACTGATTATAGTCTTTTAGAAGTAAAATCCTCTCACACCTTTTAATCTAAAGTTGTTGATTTTTATTAATGCTTTTTATTTATTTATTTATTTATTTATTTTCTCCTTTTATTTTAACCCCAATATTTACCTTGTATTATTTTTATAAGTGGGTTTACAGCACACTGAGGGTCTCTGCCAGCTGTGACATTTAATCTGCTGATGAAATCAAAACACAGAAATTAGGTCATTTAACACTGAAATCCTGTCTGTGTCGAGCTGATGTCAGGTGAACTGAATTACAGATTTCCACAGACAAATCTAGCTGAGTCATTGGTTTTTAAGTTTGTTTCAGGGAACACAGAACTACCTGAATAATCACTTTGGTAAATAATCAGGTTGTAGGCTATTTGAGAAAAAGGCATCTTTTTAATTATCATACTTTGGTCAGTGAAGTGACTCCTCTCTACAGACTGATGGGAGTCAACTGGCGATGCCAAATGTGATAAATGGCAGTCAGCTGTAAGTAAATATATACTCCTCACAGATGAATCCAGGCTGAAAGAAATACATAAAGCCATTTGAAAAGTGAAGATCCTCTTAAAGTTTAGCAGCAGAGGCCCTCAGAATTTAACATAAATGTATACTTTTTTTTTTGGAAATCAGGGGAAGTAGAGGAATCCTCACCATAAAAGTACAATTTCCGCATAAACTAAAAGTATGTTTAAAGGACTATATTTCAGTATTTATTTAGGTAAGTTACATTCTGACTTTTTGGTGATGTAGGGTACACACCAAGTTCATACCTTTGCAAATTTGATTAAGAAAACAGTGAGCATTGTCAAGTTATAGGTTTTTATTTTGACACGTTTGCCCCATTCGGATTTTCCCTTTTCAGAGATTGGGGTAGATGTAAAGGATAGCCAAAAAAAAAACACATTTTTCCCCAAAATAAAATTTCACAACAATCTATCTAATTCATGAAAGACCCTAAAGATATGAATAAAAAAGTGGTTGTGGTTGGTTCTAACTCGGCTAGGGGTATCTTAAAAAACTAAGCCCTTCTTTGAGGACCTGCTGCAGGACTAACATTCAAGGCACACTTAGGATAGAAAGTCTCCATGCAAATAGCGGCTGCTGTGGCCGTGTCCTCACATTTTGGTACACATGATTCTTTTGTTCATCTGAATTTGAAACAGCACAAATAAATTCAGTCAGGCTCAGAAGGTTCAGAGTTTCTCTAAGTGACTGCCTGCATAGCTGTCTATCACTGCACAGCTCCAGGAGAAGGTTTATTATTATGGTGTCAAGCGTTTTTTGTTCCACAGAACAGTATATGAATAGGCATAGGGCAATAACTGTTATTAGGTGTCTGGGAACTGAGCGCTGTGTGCGCGCGCTGGTTCATGTAATTGACTTTTCTATATTCACGCAATAGAGGAGCAACAGCATTCTTCCTTTTTTTCCTGGAATAGAGGAAACACACACTACAGGCCAAAAGTTTGGAAGCAAGGCCATTACAGGCCGAACAGTTGGGAGTAACTTCAAGTTTTTGTTCACAATGCTTTTTTTTTAAAACCAGCATGAGTTTTATGTGTTTCTGGATGTATTTACTCCATGATCAGATGTTGCTTTTATGGAAATGCACCATTTTACTCCATTTACCTTTAGATAAACATTGATGTTAACAGACTATTGCTAAATATATGTCAGCAAAAGATAATAAGGGCTTAGTTTTAGGGTTGAAAACATTTGCAAGAGTCACAACTTCAGTGCAAGAGCAAAAAAACAAATCACAGTTGGATTATTCACTTCAACTTTTTGGCTTTTGAGAGCCTGCGTACGAAAATCCTAATGAATCCAACTGCGTTCAAAATACCGCAAAAATGGCTAGAAAGAAGCAACTGAGTAAAGAAACAAAAGCACAGATTTGTACATTGAGGAAAGAAGGATACACAGAAAGAGAAATTGCAAAACACTTCAAGGTGTTTAACAAAGGAGTCCACTACACTCTGAAGAGACTAGAGAAACCTGGAAGTTATGATGATAAAAAAGACCTGGACGAAAGAGAGTTACTACAAAAGCAGAGGATCAACAAAGCATTGTCACCAGTAAGAGAGATCGGCAAAAGACAGCACCACAAATATGGGAGGAAATCAACATGACAAGGTCGAAACCCATATCTCTCAAACCGTGAAATGACCCCCCCCCCCCCATAAGTTCCGACAGCAACATTTACACTATCTTATACTATCTTCAAAAACTACAACAATGCAAATAATAACCAGAGATTAATGTTAGAATTATAAATGTTACATTTAAGCTTTTGCATCAATGCAAACCATTGCAGAGTGTGGAGTACTCTGTCAGCTTTCCAGTTGGCAGAGACACTCAGCTTCAACACCTTTGTTGCTACCTGTGAGTGTGGCAATTCACACAACAGGAAGTGTGCAATCCAAAGGTTGTTGGTGCAACAAAGCGCCTAAAGCACTTGATGTTGCACCTTTGGGGTTAAGGCCAGAGGCTCTTATGGTGACATCAGCTCCCCATAGAGGGGATGGGTGGTTTTATGTAAGACAGATTTCAGTTTTGTCTGTGCCCTCCGCCCTGGTACTGCCTTCAGGCTGCAGCAGTCAGCCTTTTTTTTTTTTTTTTTTTCTAAACCGGTTTGTTTATTCTGCTTGCCTCCTCCATCTCTGCACTGCCTCTTGTGCACACAAGAGCTGAAAACAGAACACAGGGTACAGCTGATTTACTAGTGACTTGCTAGTTTTTTTTGATCAGCTTCGATAGTTTCTAGTTGTGGATGGCTTCTCTTCTTGTGAGTCTGCACCCTGACTACCTCTTCACCCTCAGTGCTGAAAGATCACTGTAGCTCTTTCTTTAATCCAGCAGTTTTTTCAGCTTTCTGGCACTTAAAAGCAGCAGAGAAGAGGAAGTGCACCGTGCGGGTGTGAGAGCTCAAAGGCAGGAAAAGCCCCACATCCTCCTAATATGTAACTTCTGCTTGTCCAAATTACTAGATGGCCAAAGTGAAACTGAATATTGCAGTGTGCTTCTTAAAAGGCTTCATGTCATAAAATTGCACTGTTGTGATATCATCTAATATTTGTTAGATGCTGTTAGATGCTCGACTGTAAACTTATTAAATATCTTTAGTGAACACTAACTGCAAGTTGGTTATCACACCTTGTCATCACTGGGTTACTATGGCAACATCCTGTAGTCATTCAGTACTGTATGTTCTGGCCCTATCTCCTGGCAGATCCAGCGATGTAATTGTCCTTCCACAGCACCCCAGGATAAACTGAGGAGCAGATTTGCCGAAAGATCACCAGCAACTCAGAACAACTGCCATTCATTTCACCCTTGTTGCCTTGGGCTTCGGATATCTATGTGCGCAATTATATATGCCCACATTGTGCAGTAGAAGGTACATAACCTACATGCATCATGAACATGTTATCAAGAATAGAACTTGGATGTTCCAGAGAAGCAACGAGTGTAAAGGAGACACTTAAAGCACTGTCTCACCGCAAGGTCACAGCCTGCAGGCAGCAGCAGCAGCAATAACGGCTCTCCATCTCCCGGCCCCATTTAACTGACTGATGCTTTTTGACATGTCGGAGCAATCGAGCCAGTTAGCCTCTGGGAGGCTTCAATTAGGACCAGGACTTAATGCAGCCGAGAACTTTGCAAAGCCCTGATATGAGGTTATAGCCAATCTCACATCAATCAAGGGGAACATGGTTAAAGGCAGCCAAACCGAACCTTCTACTCACAGAGCAGATCGAGGGCTCAGAAACAGGTCCTTAAATTGACTTGAACCATTGTTAAAGGCCAAAACTTCCTACAAGCTTCCTCATTTGTTCGGTTAAAATATTTATTTATTCTGGAGTTTAACTCGACTCTGATTTAGGAAGTTAACTGGAGTCGACTATCAAACACTGCTTTTTACAAAATACTGAATACAAATACAGAGTCTAAATAAAAATGATATGAAGATCCGGGGGTCTAAAAATGACAAGCATTCAGATTCCGGTTTGTGGTACACCAGTAGCCTGAGCAGTAGTAAACAATAATAGACCAGCAGGCATAGGTGTAGAAAAAAAACAGCCAATATAGGCAGTGTTTAGTTTCCTGATGTTCTTAAATGAAAAATAAATCACTGTTTCAACATCCATTTACCAAAAGAGTAAAAACCCTGCCTTTTTGTTTGTTAATAATCTGCATCTTAGGTTATTCCAGCAAATGTATGGCCTGTTTATGATAGGAAAGTGACAAGAAAACATTTTTCTTTTTCAAATAGCCAGAATGAAGCCTCAATGTCATTTACTATCTACTGTTGATCTGAAACCTGTAAGGTAACACTTTGGAGGATGCACTAAATCAATAAATGAACGCATTCATGTTGCAAATATGAAGTGGGTGAGACTGTCGCTTTTATTGGATTGTAGAGCGTGCAGAAAAGTAAGTTTTGGCTGAAGTTGGCTACCATAACAGCTGGCTTCACAGTAATTACCAAGAAGATGGAATCTGTCCCAGAGGCACTCTACTACTATGTCATTAGAGAGTGAAGACAATAATTGCAGATGAGTTCAGATAATGTGCTTCCTTAAATGTGATTTGCAGGTCAATTAAAGAATGTGTAACTTTTTTTTTTCCACAGAAACACAATCATTTCGGGAAAAATAGAAAATAAAAACAGGTCCATGCAGATCCTGTTAGGGGTAATGCAGTAGCAGACGTGTTTTATCAACATGAATAGTCCGAAGGTTGTGTTTTAGATAAATAGTTCTCAGTTAGGTGAAGCAGGTGTGTGTGATTTCTTGACCGTACTTAAACCTTAAAAGCGCATCTCATTAATTAGCTCGGCTGCACCTGTTGCCTGTTATGTGCACCACACACATGCACAGAATAGCAATGAAATAAAAAAGCACAGCTGTGAGTGACATCCCTGCTGCACTATTTCACGGCCCGTCCGACAGGTCCATTTCCTTGCACCAGGCATGCGATTCAGCTGAGGTTCCTATATAACTGCCACCACCACCTTGCATCGGCCCTCCTTACCTGATTTATGGATAAGATGTGTGTGGTTATACACTCTCTCAGGGACCGAGCCTATTTGATTTTGTCAGGGGCAATTAAACAGTCCAGGAAGGGGCTTGCAAAGTGTTATATGATAAAGTATGAAGAGATAGCAGTGCAGATTTTTCTTTTTTCAAGGCTCGGTGCTTCTTGATTTGTTGAAAGAACACGCAAAAGGAAATTATGTTTTGAAAGGAAGTAAGTATTGCACTTTTGTTTCATTTTTGCATCAGCCTCTGTGAACGGCAATCACGCGGCTAACTTTTGTCTGACTTACTGTCAAGTCTTGAATACATATTACTTCCTTACATGCTCAGGTATCGTTTTCATCATAGAAAAGAGGGAATCATGTGCTACCTAAAGTTTGTTTGATGGAGCAGTGGGGGGAAAAAAAAAAAAAAAAACACTCTGTGGCACGGAGACCTTGAGGTTGCCTGTGTATCATTTTCCCCCACAGTGTGTGTTTATCATTGTCTGGGCTGTAGCAGTCAGAAATGACAACAGAGGGTGACACTTTAAGGTCCCAGAGTTCAGCTACCTGGAAATGTCATTGGACTGGCTCTGACAGGACGCCACACGGGGGAGAGAGGAGTATGGGACAAAACAACAGCATGTGAGTGCCATAAACCTCTTTGTGGGAATGTGCATATTGTTTTTTGTCCCCAGACTCCCTTTCAGTTTAGTTTTATCTCAGGCATCATGGCTGGAGGGTTCTTCTGTGCGAAGTGAATTAAAGTTTCATCGTATTTTAAATATCCTTATTAGCTGAACATTAGTTTGAGCCGTAAATAAATAAATGAAGACACTGTCTTGTTCAGTTTAGAGAAAGTGTGATGAGCTCTTTGGCTGAATTCTTGTTGGGATATCAAATAAGAAACAAAAGCTGACAAATATGTGGACTGTTGAAGAAATAATCAGTTGCAGCTCTTGTTACATGAGCTGTCTGCAGAGATCATGTCAAATATTCTAGTTGGAGTTATAATCCTTAAGATTTCTGAGTTGCTGCTTTAAAAAGAACACGGTTGACAGGAACACTTACATATATTAGTATTTAACATAATTTCATCTCTATCTGGAAATTTGTTTTCTCATTGTTTCCAGTGGAAATACATTTTCTAACTATGCACACAGCATAACAATAATGATGATAGTGCGTCAGATTTTATTGTGCTTTTTCATCAGTGATCTCAAAGAGCTTTACATTGGATACATTATTCATTTACTCTCACAGTCACAGCCTGGTGGTGGTTAACTACCTTAGTAGTCACAGCTTCCCTGGGGCAAACTAACGGTAACACGGTTGCCAATTTGCGCCTACGACCTCTCCAAACCAACACCACAACAACACTCACAATCATACACCAGCAGAGGACACTCACTTGGATCAAGGTGGGTTAAATGTCTTGCCCAAAGGCCACCCTTCCAGTTATTGGACGACCGCTCTACCTCCTGAGCTACTGCCGCCCACACAGAAAAGCAAAAGAAACACATACTGCTCTAATGTGCACACTATTTTTATCTCAGTAATCCCAATAAACCAATTCTGAATACGGTCAACACATCTGCAGGAAAAGTGGATGTTTAGTTTGAGGTTTGAGCAGAGTTTTCTGTAAGCGAATGATTTTACTTGAGTGTCCCTGCATCTGGTTCTTTAATTTGTGCATGGAAAAATCATATTATGAATGTGATCAAAAATAGAATAAGGTTCATGACTGCTAAAATCAAGTCTACGGGAATGCGCTATTTCTGGTTGGGATGTCCCAATCCGATATTGATATCATTCCAATATCAGCAAAAAAACGAATATCGGAATATATCGGCCTGCATCTAAAATCTTATTAACAGAACTCTGATACAAGCAATCCATTCCAGACTCTATCTTGCAGGGCCCAGATCAAGCATGCAGAGCTCACATGATCTCAACAACAGTGGGTGCTAAGGTACTAACAAAGTAGCAAGGTGTAGGAGTGATGTCGGCAATATCTAATCAATTCTCTATAGTAAATCAATGTTTTTCAGTAGACAGTAGATTATTGAGATTGTTATCTTGAATAAAATCACTATTTAATATTTATTTACATCAAGCTATACAATATCTTAGGTGTGTCACGGGGGCAGCAGTGATTCAGGATATGACCCGGGAATCTATGGGTCACCAAGGCCAAAGTAAGAAGCGGTACTGAGGAGATACTGATCCCTTGGTCATGTATGTATTTGTGTTTTCAGTTTATGTGTGTTTAACATGAGCAGGGACAAATTGTAAAGTATTGAATTCTCCCCCCAGAGGGATGAATAAAGTTTGTCTTCTTCTATCAATACAAACATTTCACACACTGCTGCAGCTTTACATTCAGAGGACTTGACTCATTAAACCACCTTATGAAAGGTGGTTGTCATTGTAAAGGGGAAACCTTTACTGTTGCTGTGGTAACTACATGTTGCCTATTTAATGAAGGTTTAAGTGTTAATTACAAGTCTTATTCAGTCAGTTTAAAAGGACCTATTCATAGACCCAGCACAGTATAGAAGCCGAGGGTTCTTAGACTGAAAATCTGGCATATACACCCTCATACCGAGGATGACAGTTCATCTAATAGCAGCCATCATGTTGCGATGAGTGTGTGAGCTTAAGTGTACATGCAGTGTGCGAACTAGAAGTTAAGCGTGAATTGAGCACAGGGTCTTACTGCTTTGATATGTGACTGAGAGGAGGAGAAAGTAAAGCAGAAATGTCTCTCCTCATTAGCCCTGACTCCCCCTCTTCCTGCTGCTGCTGCTGACAGAGACTCATATCCTACCTCCACCAGCCAGCTCAGTATGGCATCAGTCCATCTGCATGAGTAACTGTAACTCTTCCCTCCAGTCAAAATCAGTGCATCCGCTTGATCCGATTGGCCACGCACGTCAGCATCACCTTGTGTGAACAGAGAAGATAAAGAAGAATGGTTTGGTGTCTGAAGTGTGGCCAAGTCCTGGAGCTCTGCAGTCACAAAATTAATGTAAAGTACATTTCCCCTGGGTGTCAACTTATTGTTTCAGCGGCTAATCTTTCCACGCCGTCAACTTTGTTTGTGTCACCCATGTAGTTCCTCTGAATTTGCAAGACAACTAGAACTGTAAAATGCACAAGGGATAAGCCATACCTGTTGAAGTAAGGCCTTATACAAATCAGTGGAAACCTGCAGACTTATGACTTAGTTTTGACTGAACCCGCTCTTTAGGGACTGGAACCTCAGAAATTAAGCGTGTTTAATTTCCCCATAAAGAAAGATGATGCTACCCAACATTTAACTAAAGTAATACTAATGTAAATAACAATAATGAATAAATAATTTAGTATAAACAAATATAATCTTACTCTATGTTACCTTGTGGCCCCCTTTTAGTCAAAATGTTGGAGGAGATTACAAAAAGTGGATGTAATATTATGAGGTCATGCCTTTAGAGGATTTTATAACACATCAGTCTTTAATAAATGTGCAGCTGTCTTACAGCTAAACAAGACTGAATATTTCTGTGATTTTTATTTATTCCCACATTATTCTTTTTTGCCCAATAACAGCTCCAACTGGTGCATGAAGATATTTTGCTTTTCTTTTGCCAAGCCAGTTGTTCACATTATCTTTTGCAATATTTTTATGCAAGTTTTGTATAATAACTGGCATAAATAAACTTAATTTCCTACTTAGAATTGGGGAGTACACAACCCTCTCATGCTGACTAAAAAGCTCTAAAGTGTCCACAAGAGATAATATTGGAGTGTCTCTTAGGGTTGTGCAAAAATACAACTTCCTCTGCATGCCAAACCCACCAGAAAATCCAGAAATGGTTCCTAATCTTCACAATGTTGGGTGAGCATACAATTACATCTGTGATTTTAACTCAAACTTGCCCAAAAGCTCTGAACTGATGGGAGTTTGAGGCTGTTGGACCTACAGAAGGCCTGGAACAGAGTGAGGGATGGGGGCTGTTAGGTTTTATTGATATTGATGCCATTATGGAGCCTCCTTCATCCTTGAAGGACTGCACTGCAGTGTGGTATTTTTAATTTTGGTGGAGGTAGGATCATATATTTGTCACAGAACTTCACCAATGTAATAACAACGAAAAGGAAGGACGATTTCTTCACCTCAGCCTAAAAGACATTTTCTGCCTAACCTTGAACACACTATAATGTGACCTCATGTGTTACATGTGACATTACCTTATTTGCTAAGCTAGCTAGCTTTTAACCTGCCGATACAAAGCTTGGGTAAATATCACTGCTGCTTTGAGTGGAGGCGTAGAAGGTTGACTGTCTCAGAGGTCAATTCTAAGAATGGATCCTGTTCAGCCCTGCAGGTTAACAGCTGCAGAGCTGGTGAGCACATCTCTAAGATCCTGACTGCTACAAAGACGCTTCAACCATTAAAGGTAGTGATGACCACAGAAGTGTTCAAAGTTGTGACATTTGCTTCATTTGTGTTAAAAGCTATTTTAACTGCAAAAACTGCAAAGCTCTGAGGAGATGGAGAACTTCATGAGGACAAAAGTCAATGTTTATCTTCTTTGAGGACACCTCTTCACCTTCCCCCGTTTCACCGTTGATGGAAATGTTAAAATAAAGTGAACTAGCTTGCAGGCTAATATTTGACCATGACTTAAATGTGAACTGGAATGTTCACTCAAGTGTTGAATTGACCCACAACAGGCAGGTAAAAAACCATTGCCATGGAAACCTTGCCTATCGTGGAATGAGAGGGACTGTTTAATTTTTTAACCCTTTAATGCCCGACACCACAAATTATGGCCAGAAAATTCAATTTTCTTTGGAGCTAAAATGTTTATTTCTGTTACTACTAAAAACCCAAAAAATTAAAATGTCCTTAAAATTTTACAATTTTATTTATTTATCTCATTTGATACATTAGATGTTTTTAGAAACTAATAAACTAAAAGAGGACATTTCTATAATTTATCGGACTGTTTTCAGGTGTTTTTTAGTAATATGTTGATCATATCTTGATTTAAAAGAAGTATATAAAAGTATGTATTAAATATGATACAAAAGGCATTAAGGGGTTATGCAAATAATTCTTAAATGATAAAAAAAGAAAAGAGAACAAAGTTTTATCCAAATTCTGTGTGGACTTGTTTATATCTTAATTTGGTAGGCTGGTTAAAAAGAGGGATGATGTTAAGTTAGCAGGTGATTAGGCCCAACTGAATCCGAAAAAGGGTGGGACAAGACACTGATGTGAAGCCAGCTTAGCCACACAGAGGACCCACAGGATTCAATAAGCCCAAATGTTATTGATATTCAGGTTCTGAAAAAGCAAAAACTGAATAAATAGAACTGGGTTCCCATTCCCATTCTTTCATGGGATTATGCTTCCTTAGCAGAGAGACAAAACCTCAAACACAAGCAGTCTTGATTACTTGCTGCTCTTTTTGAAGACTGAGGGGTCAGCAGTCAATGTTGGTAAAACACACAGCCGGCCATAAAGAATGTTTTTTCTTAGATTTTATTTCTGATGGGCTCAGTATATATGAGATAAGCGGCAGACAGACAGATATGTGCGCACAATCAAATGCATGATCCCCTCCAGACTAAGACCTAACAATAAAGCGTGATTAAATATACCCTGCCAGTGCTCTCTCTAATCCTTTTTCTTTGAAGTGTTAATTTCAAGTTCATCAATGGTCTTAGTCAAAGTTTTTAATATGCAGAAACAAGTTCAAAACATTGAAATGCCCTTTGTTACAGCAACAAAGCAGAGGTTTGGAGTTAATAGGGACCACTGGAGGAAGAATACTTTCATTTTGTACAGTATGAGGTTTTTGTTGGACTAGTGGGTGGGAGAATAATAAGAAAGCACAATATGGGATTTATCTTGGACAGCTCCTTGAATATATAAACTGGAGTATACTGTAAAATATGGCATGATGAAGCAAAACCCAGAAACCACTTTATTTTATCATTTTAACTTTAGAAAAATGGCTTCTATGGAAAAAAAAAAAAAAAAAACTTGATGTAAAGTGAAGTCCTCTTATATATGCAGAAATATTTTTAATAATTTCAGGATGATGAAAGTCAGTGCTCATATCCAGTCTGCTGTCTGACACCCTCACCTCTGCTCACACACTCACTCACAGCACACACACATCCTCTCTCAGTATTGGGTAGCAGGTGCACGACTACAGAAGTGATAGCCATACATCCATGGGACAAAAAAAACACAAAATCCCTCCCACACAGATGATGCCAGCTGTATGAGTGTAATTATTTTGAAGAACAAACAGACATATGCATTCAACATCCCACATACACACACACACACACACAGCTGAAAGGTTTCCTTGGCAACCAGAGGCCAGGAAAAGACTTGTATTGAGTGATGATGTTTAAGTGCACACGACCATTTGACCACATATAAAATCTCCCTGCTCGTGCTGGACTCATTTGATTTTGTTTTTCAATCCCAAAAGTGATCATATTATAAAACTGCAAATCAGATAGAAAAAACTGTGAAATGAAAGGAAAAGATAACAGCTCTAAAGACTCCCGTGTGTTGAAGTACGAAGCTCTGTCTGAACAGCTTGAACAGTTTTTTTTCATGGTTTATAGCTGATGATAAAAAACACTTGGACAGATGTTATCTTTGTAATGAATGGCGGATGCAGATGAGTTTCCAGGTATCAGTTTTCACAAAGACACAGTATGTTGAAATAATGGCTGTACACCCAAAAGCACTGCAGTGTTAATTGGTAGAGCAGTTGTTATCTTCCACTCATACCTCCACATTAAATGTGAAAATGTGAATACTATTCGTGAATGTTAACTCACAGTCTTAAGATTGCTGAGAAATAACTGGCTATCAGTGTCAAAATGAGTGAGAGTGTGATTGCACGAAAAAATAAGCAGGGCTTGAATCTTACACAGGTTAATTTAAGACCATCAACTTCGCTAATTGTTTTTAAATGAAGCCCTCTCTTTTACGCTTTTACTTGCTCTCGCTTGTGCATGTGTGTCCAATTAGTGGAGCGTTAAATTCAGGATGGAATCTCTTCCTCTCTTGCCAAATGCAGCAGCTGAGCACTAGTCATGAGCTGTCAATTCAATCAGAAACTCGCCATCAGCGTTCTCTCTCTCTCTCTCTCTCTCTCTCTCTCTCTCACACACACACATGAAGCCAGGGGAAATAGTTTCCCAGGGGGGATCTTTTAGCTCATGGTGGTTGGCAAGAAAGACAACTGAGTAAATGTAGAAGTTATATCAATTTTTATCCATGCAGTTTGAGCATGTAAAAATACGGTTTACCTCAGGGGGACTGCAACCTTTTCAAGTGAGAAAAATAAAAGGCCCACAAACAGCGATTGGGATAAAATCAAAGAATTCTCACTGATGTTACAGCAAGCTCGTGATAGAGCGCCGTTGAACTCTCGAGCCCTGTCTTCTATTGACACGACTTTACACGCCTTTACTTCACATTAAAAAAACAGTGCTATCTATCCCTTCAGCATGAAATACGCTGGCTGCATGTTGGCTTTAACATGCTTTTATCAGAGAGCAAACATGAACAACATGCAACAAAGGGAGTTTTATATTTCTCCATGAAGACGAGGTTGCATCATTTCTTTTGAAGGTATTTCAACATGCGTAGCCGTAAAATAAAACAAAAATGCCAACATATCATTCAAAGAATCATTGCCAGCTGCTTTTTTTTTTTTTCTCGTAACCTTGGTACTAGAGGGCATAAAAATTTAAAGCAAACAGTCCTGATAAAGCTTATCAAAGCTTTAGACATGAAGCATGCTCAGCGGTAGGACAGATAGTGTCATCATGTGAGGATGTCGGGATGCTTATTTACTGCAGAGATTAGAGCTCCATGTGTGAGGGGATAACATGCTCCTTAGACTGAAAAAAGAAACACAAAAGGGGGCTCTGACAGCGTTCAGATGCAGTTCTGGGAGCTGCAGTCATTTCAGTAAGGTGCCTCTCTTTGGGATGAATGTCTTGATCACTGTAAGGGGAGGAACAGGAGGCTGGGAAAACAGCTTGTACAGAAGGTGTAATCAGCCCCAGCTTTGGCAGAGAGTGGCAGCGCTTTATTACTCGTCTAAGTAAATGTATAATTGAGCAAGTCGCTTCACCCACTGTACTGAGATCACAGGCGAGACAGATGAATGTATTTGAAGGGAGTTCTCCAGACCTGTAGGGGAGCTGAATGATGTGCATGGAAAGCTAAGGACACTGGGGTTCTTACAACCTTTAAGACATACAGATTTTGTAAAGCAGCTCTGGTCAAATTAAACTTTATTTCCAAAAACCCTGGAAATAGAGAGGAACTTTGCACATCGCCTCCCACGAGTACACATTAAACGAGAACTCCAAGATCAAACGTTCTGAGTAACTCCAGTTAGATGCCAGTCCACTTGAGCCCACTTGATCTCACATGTAACAAGTTATATGTTGCAATTAGTTATGATTTAGTTTGTTTTATTAAAACATAGCCTGGAGGTTTTAGGGAAAATGTGCACATTGATGTCCACATTGGCTCTCCCTCTGGAAGTCAAATATTAAAATCATTCGACTTAATCCTTGAGCAACTCGATAGAAGACATCTATGATCCATTGCTACTCAAAATTATACAAGTGGTGGAGAATAAACAAGTAATACAAAAGTAACATCAGAGTAGGGAGGGGAGATATAGGCAAAAAAAAATTATCGCGATAAGTTTTGACATTCTGGCGACAACAATGAAAGTCCCGATAAAAAATAACAAAATTCCTATCTAGGTTTTTGACACATTCTGTCTTGAAGACACTAGTTGGCATAGTCAAATAAGATACTTAACTACAAGTTTAAGTGGTAGGTTATAGAGAAAACTGTGAAAACACTTTCAACATTTGTTGAAAACTCATTGCACAGAGAGAAGAGTGACCAGATCCACTGACCAATGCAGTGTTGTCATAACAAGATACAGATAGAGCACTAACCTCTGGTCTTGAGAAATAAGGCAAAAAGGATGCACCAAAGACTGCAGTTCCATGAGTGACCATTTGAGGCTGGCTCCAAAAGCGAAGTAAACCACATACACACCCATTCTAAAGAGCCCTTATTTACAGCAAATCTCAAGGTAAAGTCTGGTTACAAAGTCAGTTTGGTCTGAATAGCTGATGCGTCTATTTGCTGACCTGCATGAGGCAGGTACACAATAACTGTCAAAGAAGGTGCTTAAAGCTAGCCTCATATCCATCTCTTCGTCTCTTACTAGGTCTGCTGAAAGTGAAATATGGTAATAACTATCGCTGGGCTTTGAAACTCTGCTCAAGACACGGGGGGCATCATTGAGACAGATTCTGATGATTATACATTGCACTCCACCACATACTCCAATTTCCTGAGAATTTAAAAGTGGAGTTCAGAAAACAGCAGGATTGCAGTGTAGGTGGGTCAAAAATTTTGTTCTAGTTGATCAGAATATAAAGTTTTCATGTTTCCAGAATAATTTTACAATAGGACTGTCAGTTCAAAAAAAAAAAAAAAACAACTTCGAACAAATATCGAACGTGACGTGCTAATGTTTGGATACATTCAAATTTTGTGATTCTATCAATATTGGGATTTTTTTCTGAGCCTCTGCCATGGGGCTCGACACACACACACAAAAAAAGACATCACTTTGGTGAAACTCTTGCTGTTCCGCCACTTTACTGTAATGCCTTCTCCACCGCTGCTGATGAATACTGCTGAGCACAAAGTCAACATACTGCCCTATCTTTGTATTTTAACTATCAATCTGCAGTAGAGATTCCAAAATACCTCCACATCCAGCTTCCCTGACCTAAGCTTTGCTGGACCATGTCCTCATTTTTGAAGAATGACTTTACTGTATTTACTGAATGAGGTCAACAGTGAATAGATTGGTCAGGTTACAATGGGAGCACTCTCTACTGGATCACAAGGCAGGCTACTTCAAAACACTGGTATACTGTGTTATTGTGAATTTGAATGACTCATTACAGTTTGAATATGATCTTTTTCCCAAGGGTTCAATGAAGGTTTGGATTTCGGATAAAAAGTGACAGCCCTACTTCATGATATATTATAAACTGTATATGTTACGTCATCATATATCCTTTATTATGATCTAAGACATGATACAAGAAAAATCGAATGATATCTTTACCCGTCTAAATACAGCAGAAACGAAAATGGAAGTTCAGTGCACCCAAAATAGGAAACGTGTTTTCTTTTAATGAGCAACCCACTGAACACAGAGCTGGTAGAGAAAAGTCACTTCAACAAGCCAACAGGGTAACAATATTATGACGGGTTTCATAAACAAAACAATAAAAAAATGTTTAGCACTACATAAATCTAAAAAAAATATATAATGATAAAGAAAAACTGTGTGTCCAGTAGCATATGAATGGAATCAGTCAATACTAATGGGTGCTTTGCATAGCTGCCATCAGTGTGAGAATGGGTAAAGGTGATATGTGATGTAAAAGAGCTGTGAATTGTTAAGAAGACAAGGGAAGGTGATATTTAGAAAAAAAAAAAAACACAGTCCAGTCTGTGATAATGAAATTAAGAACAAAGACATTGTACAAGATATCTTACTATACAGAGCCTCATTTTTTTTAAACAGGTGAACACTGAACACCTCAACATTATGGCAAGGAGAACAGAAGGGGTTTAATTTCCACAGCGCTTTCTGCATCATTAACGATGGCTTTGATTAATGGTTTACATCTACCCAAAGCCCCACCTGTGAGAATCACAATAAAGGTGATCATTTGTCGGTGCTGTAGCTGCCTCCCATTCCCCCCACATAGACAAGAAGAAAAAGCAGCAAGGTAAAGGCACAGGGGGTTAATTTACACTTGCACCTGTACTAAAGTCACCACTGCCGTAAATATTGTGACTTTTTAATCAGCAATTTTGGTGCCAGAGCAGGAGGGAACATAGTAGGCGTGTTCGATGGGGAAAATAGCCTTGCATCAATTCTCTGGTTTTCTGCAGACCTCTTCTCTGTTTGCAACCCACCCGTGTAATCCATCATGGAGACATTAATTATGTGCTGGGCTCTTTCAGGACAAAGACTCTAATGAAGGGCTTGTCAACACGGGCCTCTCCCTAAAACAGTGCAGTCATAGAGGTGGAAGAGCTGCTCGTGCTGATCCTCCCCACTCGGATCAGAATTTGAAAAGCGAAGCAAAAACACTTCAACAGTGTTTTCAGCCTCTGAACTGTGATAATGCTTGCTCAGTTACACCTGGAAATGCAAACTGTAATAGATGCACATGGGACAATGGGAGTAAAGCTGAACTGCTAGCGAAGGTACAGGAACTGATTCATTATCATTAGGCGAGGAGGGAGGCTACTTTCAACACAAATGCATCCCAATTTGTGATAATGGCCCTTTGTTGTTTTAGTTTCTTTTAAGTGAAAAAAAGAAACAGCAAACACCTTGGTTTCACCTTTTTCATCTGATACATAAATTGCAGAGGGCTTCTTTTCGGTTTCTCAGTTCTAAGGATTGTGGGTCGTAAGCTACCAAGGTTTGGAGGAATGGGGGAGCCACACATCTCTTTCCTCGAGATGGTAATGTTCAGATATGCATTGCCCATACGGTGCATGGCAGCTAAACTGCATCACTGCCCACCTCATTGTTTCCTTTGAATTTCCTTGTTCTTTTCCACATTGGTTACTTTGGAATTTTTGGGAGTTGAAAGCAATCCATCAGATTTACCCGAAGCGCAGTTGTTTGACACCTAAAACTTCTGATTTTATTCGTTTAAAAACACATAAACCAACCAAATTATAAAGTTTTGGTTTAATAAAAACGTTGGTGGCAAAGCAGTATTTTTTAAAACCCTATTCAGACCTCAATTTGTGATGAACGATATTGTAAGTATTTCCTGTTGTAACATTAGACTAAAATACTGGTTCAAGTGATTCTAATAAGTTGGGGAGCAGTGAGGATATTACTTCTGTGCTCGCATGGTATCATTAATACTTTTTTACACTGCAGAGTTCATCTGAAGACCAGTTATTTTCCATAATAGCCCTCTTATAAATCTAATCTAACTCTCATTTTGTCGCTTCCATAATAGACTCAGTCAACAGATCACTCATATCTACCAGTAGAAAGTAGTTCTAGCACATTTTACCTTAGCTTGTTGACACCATCAACAAAGAAATATTTTGATTAGCATCAAAGGTAAACACTACGGTGAAAATGTAGGTTTCTGTTTGCATGGTAATGTGGTAGTCTAAACAATATGGATGTTTGAATAACAGTCTCTCCTACAATCCAGGCAAGGGCAGCACTGCTGGTGAGTGCATTTCTAAGATACTACTAAGAAAAAAGTAAGAAAAATAAAAGCATAGTGGTGATTAAAGTGCGAATGTAAAACATTTGTGGCTTTTTCTTAATTTATTCTTGAGGAATAAACTGCAAATCTCAGAGAAGAAGGAGAGCTTAATGAGGTTAAAAGTCTACGCTTACATCCTTTTAGAGGAACCTGTTCACGCTGTCTAATGTAACCATCAATATGAATGTTCAATCTAATGTGAATAATAAATAAGCAGGCTATAAATGTTCCCACAGGTTTCCCTTTTCTAATGTGACCTTGAGTGGAAATGCTCAGTTCAATGATTATTAAAGTGGCATGCTAATGATTTAAATTGACTGTAAATTGAAATGTTTACTTAGGTGTTTGTTTGAGCTGCAAGGAGGATGAGAATCCATGGCTATGGGAGGACATGCTCAGTTAGAAGATCGGTAAATCCAGTGAGCCTAAACGTCCCCTCTTCTGAGCTCAAACAAAGGCTTGCTAGCATTTCATAGAGTCACAAATGGACATGCAGCATCACACAGAAAAGTGGTATCTGCAGATTTGATCATATGCATATTCTGAGCTTGCTTTGATTTGGCTGATCAATTTTTAGTGTCTAATTCAGGTCAATTCTCCACATTATTTTATGTGTCAATCCAACCCTCTAACTCTTGGCAAAAAGTGCAAAGATAGAACTTTTCTTGTTTTGGCTGTGGAGCTGCTCCTAACTCCGGTCAGATCAATACTCATGTGCCCCACACAGACACAACAAGTCAGCCAGACAAAGCACCTCCCTGCCAGTCGGCCACAATGATACAGAAGTTTGGAGGCTGTGTGATGGATTGAAGACGGGGGCCAGGATGGGGCTACTGCAGGTCTGCCCTGTATTTCAGCTGGACACCTCACAGCAGTGGAAGCAGCAGAAGCAGCCGCAGCCTCACTGAGCTCTGAGCCTTGGAGACAGCGAGAGATGGCTCAAGGTGTGAAACCTGAGCCATAACTGAGCCGAGTGGGCTTTTGTTTCATGGCTAATTACCGCTGACTCCTGGCTCTCATCCCCTTCCCCTGCACCCCCCTCTGCTTCTTCTTCCCTCCGTCAGCCCCCTCTGCCTGCTCTGTCGTACTGTTCACTGGTGGAAAAGGTATTACTAATGACAGAAGAAGGTTACCCGATTTATCTTCGGGCAAAACCTTTCAGAGTTAGCTCCTCTAGCGTCCCTGCAGATTGCAGATTGCCAAAGGAAAAAAAAGATGCACACACATACAACAAGCAGCAACAGCTGCAACAGGGACTAAGTCTATTCCAGTCTGACTGTAGTTGAGATTACCAACTTTATTTTCTTTCCTTGACTTTTTCAAAAAATATAATTGCTGTCTGGTTCAGGGCTAAAATCTCCAGACCATCACGGACAATCGAAAACTTTATTTCTAACTACTACTGGGGAATTTAAGATGCTGTGGGCAAAGAAATGTTAATTTTCTGGAAAACCTCAGTTGACTTTAAGGCTGCTCAAACATCCAGGTGATGTGATATGAATGCAGATGAAGAGAATAATAACGCATGAAGAAATCAGGATAAGATAAAGTGAGGAACAACTCCTCAAAGAGAGACCCCCCAGCCATGTTCGATCTGATCGATTTTGCTTTGTGAATTAGATCAAGTCCGATAATAATGGGAAATATTGGTAGAGTTTAATTAATATCTTGAGCCATAGCGTTTCATAACTAAAGCAAAAACTTTTCAATCATTTACTCTCAACAAGCCCCCTGAGTGTGCAGCTAAACACCATCTAAACTGTGTAATGGCCTTTAGTTAAACGCTGGCTGTAAAGTCACAGATGTGAGTGTATAAAAGCCAAATGTTTTAAAGATAAAGACTGTTTATTCACTGCTAATGAGGAAACCAGTGTGAATGCCACTATTCCCCTTTGTTTTCATTGCCAGTCACATTGAAGAGGCAGATAAAACAAACCAGTGACAGCAGGACTTTAACACTTAGAGACAATTGAGGAGAAGATTTACTTCTCAACTAATGACTCCACCTTTAACGTGAGGTATGTGTCCCTCCTGTTCTGTAAACAAGGCAACACAAATACAGTCTGTGGGTTTTATGAACACTTCAAAGCACGGGTACAGAATATACTGTACATCAGCCAATGATGGTGATTTCATACTGCAAATTTCACTTATTAATAAGTAAAAACACAGCAAAACAGCTGATAGCAGCATGCAATAAAAAAAAAATAAATAAATAAAAAGCAGAGTGCTTGACTTTACAGCCCTTGCTGGGCTCCAGACTGCGACCAAATAGTTGCATTTTTGGACTATAATCCAAGACAGTGCGAGTAAATTTTTCATCTACTTGCGCACGCGCAAATAGTAATTTTGCCAATTTTTGACGACTGTGATAGGCTAGGAGGCGGCTCTTTGGGGTTATTGCGCAAATCCACAGATTTCACATAATGGTATTCTTTGTAAACAATGGACAGCGGCAGCAAAAGGGATTATTACTCCAGATTTTCTTCCCAGTAAAAATAATTTTTCTGAGGAGACAAATCTTGAGAATGAGTCCGACTCAGATTGTGAGGAAACGGTGGTGTTGAAAAAATCCAGGAAATTCAACTTTTATGGTAAGTGGCTGCGCGAGTTCACTTGGCTGAGGTATTTCAGGGAGATGTATTAGTAAGCTGTATAACTTGTTTCTGTTGTCAAAACCAATGCACAATAAAATATGAGTTTATGAGCTTGTAGTTTCTGCATTTATTGTCAAAGTATTTATCAGTAACACAGTATATATGATAGAAAAACATTGTAAGTTGTTTCCGGTGTGCGCTCCTTAATTTTCTGCTTACACCCCTGAAGATAGGGGCCACTGTGCTCTAAGTAAGAAAAGTTAGTCTGGAGCCCTGCCTTGATGTCCCACCTTTTTTTTTTTTTTTTTTGAGGTAGAAGTCCAAGGTTTTCTCCAGCTAACAGTGGACTTGGAACAGGTTTTGAGTCACTGCTACATTGCGAGTGTCCCCATCAGACCTGTATGATGTAACCTCCAAACATTGACAGCAAGGTCAGAAGTGGGTACGTTTTCGCACTGACATTTGGACTTCTGTCAGTCTAGATTAGATTAGATTAGATAGAACTTTATTGATCCTTTTGGGAAGATTCCCTCAGGGAAATGAAAAAGTGGGTATACTTAGATGGCCCAGTGGCTGGATAAAGACTTCAGTATGAAAAAGACAGTATTACATGACTGAGTGACTGAGAAGATCCATTTTTCTTTTTTGTGCCATTTTTGTTAAGAAGAGAGATTTTACCATAAATCCTCGCCTTTCTTTCAGGTTTGCATAAACACATTTTAAAATTGAAAGGTGCTTTTCAACCAAAAGCACCCCAGAACTTTCAGTTATTTTTTTTTTGCTTGTATTTGCATATTCTTGTATTTACAGGAACCTTAAATGACACTGAAGAGTTTTCTTTAGTAAGACGTGAACAAGCAAGCTCACCATTTCCCCTAAGTCTGTGACTAAGCTGGCAGACTCCTGTCTCCACCTTCATGCTTTACTCACAGCCACAAGAGTGCTAACCTTTTTTCATATATCATTTGCCCTGATATATGAATACACGTTTTCAAACACAACCTCTAAGTGAAGTCAACATGGAAGTGCAAGAACTGCAGTTCCTGGAAAGCTCACTCAAGGTTGGCTGTGGAAGAAAAGGAATTCCCAGTAGTTCCTTTTTTTTTTTTTTTACTCCAAATTGCTCATTCCTGCAACAGAAACAAACGTGTTTACACTCGTATACAAAAAGAGGTATTGGTCTGTTTCTTATTTCTCTATATGTTTATGTCTTTCTTTTAATGCAGCCATTTTGATCACATACAGACCAGAGTTATGCATAAATTTACATAATTATTAGTATGACCATATTGACGGATAAGTGGGCACATTAGCCTTTCACATGTGCAAAACCTGTTGACCCGATTAAAAATTTGAGGGATTGGATAATCTGAATCCACTGTTTTTATGGGCGCAAAGTCAAATAATCCAATCATGATGTGCGTACACATGCACCAAGTTTTATTCAGATTAGTAGCATTTGGACATGCGCAGAGTTTGTCTAATTTCGCTAAAACAACCACAGAGGAAGAGTTGTATTTACGCCTGTGCTGTCAGCAAACCAACAAACATGGTAGTGGGTCACTCCATCCAATCCAGGACTTTTACCCCTGTTAAATGTTGTCAATATATGGCGCCCTTCCATACTTATTTCGGAGGAGCAGATTAGGAACCTGCGGTTGTGTTTTATGCTGGAGTGTTAATAATGAAACCTCCTGAACTGGCCTCAATAAATAAGCCAAAGGCTAAAGAGTGAAGATCAAGTCAGGTAAGAGAGTCACAATCGGAATAAGTGTTTACATGGACGCGTTTCGGAATAACGATCGGCCTAAACCACCCCTCTCAATCAGAGTACAATTTCTTTCCGATCAAGCCAAATTGGATCAGAAACTTTCGATCAACGTATTTACATGACGCTTTTTTATTCCAATCGAGCATTTATTCCCATTATTTGTGCCTATGTAAACGCAGCTAGTACAGGTATTTGTGAGGAGGCTTAAGGCCAGTCCAGACTCCTTCACTGTCTTCTGTGACATGAATTTTAAGGGATAATTTACAACTGTAAAGAAATAGGGGCAGAGAAAAGGGCTGTAAAGCTGGTAAATGCAAGGAGAAATTGACTGACGTGTCTGTGCTAAATAAATGAGGAGAAGGATGTCCACAGCTGTTAGCGACTAAACCCTGATTAAACAGTTATTAATCAGCCGAGGCCGAAGGAGTCACCCCAACATTCATCAAGTTTTATCTGCTCTGCAAAGGCCAAAGATTTAGGACTACTTACACAGCCAGATTAAAAAAATGTGGACCAATAGGTAAGATTATAACATGGGAAGTCTTGTAGGTAACCATGTTGTAAAGAAGCATTTCCATTGCATGGGGTTGTTACATAAAGCAGGGATATCAGGAGTGTCAGCTGAGGGGGATGTTTAAGGCTGATGTCTTGCACCAATCTTTACCATCATCACATCTTCAATCATCCCTGTGCTGTCCTGTTTCACATCTGCCACAAATGCCAAACAATTCAAGAGTGCAATTTATCATGACACTGTCTTAGTGCTGGACGATAATTCGATAACAATATATATCGATCGATAGACGTGTGGTACGATAGAAAAAAAACGGGTCGATAAAAAGTTCGATAGAAAAACACAGTTTCCCTTTCTTTTTCATCATAGCCTATCATGTAGCTTTTACTACAGTCATTACTTCCTCCCAACCAATCACAAACGCAGACCCAGGTACGCTACGGCACCAAGCCCAGCCCCTCTCAAACCACAACAGACAGCACGTGTATTAGAAAAAATGATACAGCAAGGAGAAGCGGAGGACATTGTCCCGAAAAAAGGTTTCAGTAGTTCACCAGCATGGCAATGTTTTGGTTTTTAGAAGTCTGACAAAAAGCGAACAGCGGTCGTTTGCAAAATTTGCAGAGAATTAGTAAAAACCAAGTCTGGTAACACAACCAACTTGTTTTACCATCTAAACCGATCGCAGCCGCAGGAGTACGAGCTGTGTCGGCCGCGCCGCGGCTCCACGTCGTCGTCGGAGGAATCCTCTGGAACCGCTGCCAGTACCAGCACAAAGCATGTGAAGCAGACCAAACTGGACTTCGTTTCTTGCCAAAATACGACAAAGCGTTCGAGCGGCATAAGGACATCACCCATGCAGTAAGATGCTTCATAGCGAGGGACATACTGCCAATAACTACCGTTGAAAAGCCTGGCTTCGACCAGCTTCTAGCCACTCTCGACCCGCGATATGAAGTGCCCGGCCGCAAGTATTTCTCAAACACAGCGCTTCAGGCATGAAAATGGGTCAGGGGTTGAAAAGGTGAGAAGGGTGCGGAGGAAATACGTTCCGGTGTTGTACCGTAGAATGCACCCCTGTATCCCGTCCACTCATTAGCTTCTTAAAGTGGAAGAAAATGAGCTCATATTTTACAAAGACGCGAGTATTTGGATCATGGCTACTAGCAGGGGGTGCATTCGGCAGGGGTGCATTCTACGACACAACACCGGCGTGGATAAGTCCTGCTTCTCGTGCTTAGTTTGTGTATTAAGTCAATCACATGATAATTAAAAAAAAATAAATCTCCCGACCCCGGGAGAAATATTTTAGTGTTCAGACACCAGGCTGTGGGCAGTTTCCCACACAGTTAAACCTGGTAGTATGCTATTCCCACCTAAAGCTATTCTGTTTATTTATATATTTGTTTGTTTTGTTTATTTTCATCAAAAGACTATTTAAATATTTATTTATCAGATTTTCTGGTCACTTTAGTCTTTATGTTTGTCAGTATTTACTGATGTCACTCAGGCCACTTAAGTTGATTTCTTTTTTAGTTCTTTTTTAAAAAACTTTCAGTTGTGGTAAAAAAAAAAAAAGGTGGTTGAATAAAGGTTTGAATTTGAATTCAGTGCTTGTGTGTTCTTTATTAAAAGTAGGTCATTAAGCAATAGCATAAAAACATCCAGGGCTGCAATTAAAATATATGTTAAATAATTATAATAATCATATCGATAATTATCGATATCGATCAATATGATTTATTTTTTATCGATATGCTTTTTTTCTATATCGTCCAGGCCTACACTGTCTCTGTTCTTGGTAGCAACTGTACCTCCTCTGTCACAGCATCAGTGCAAGCTGTCAGCGAGAAACCCACCTACTGTTCTGACCTTTCGCTATATCCATCTTATTATTTTTTTCCACCCATTCCTTTTGAAGTTACACAAAAAGCTGCCAATTACCTCTGGTGGGCATGAAAAAAACACAGTGGATGATTTATAGCAACAAGGCCATATGCGCTGGAAACACAGATTGACTGATGTGGCTGTTGCCTGCAGACTGGCTTCGAGTGATGTCACTGTGAAAAGCATGAAAAGCTGTGACACACGGGAATAAACAACTAGCGCTCAGTTCTATGTTTTACAAGCGCTTTAGCCCTGTGTGAAAATCTATGATATGTGACCGCACCAATATGGATCTGTCTATAAAGAAATATACTGACTGAAATTAATTTATGTAAATGATGGGTGAGGTGGGGTTTAAGGTCTCTTAGGACTTGGCATTTCATTAATTTTTTACCAGCCCTTTGACATAATTGTGAGCTCTAAATCTATGATCGCCTCTTGCGATCCCCAAACCCACAGTGCTGCTTGACATTCATGTGCAACTGAGGTGGAGAAGTGTGGGTAAAAAGAGGAGGGGGGTAAAAAATGAAATCTAATTTTGACCTGCTGGTGAAAGCAGGCAAAGATTAGCTTGAGCGCTTAAAATGGACAGAAAATTACAGGTTGAGGAGTATGAGCATATGAAACTGAAGGAGCGTTTAATTAGAGGCTTTGCTATTGATTAAGCTGGGCAGAGGTGGGTTTTTCATGAGCTGCTTGGGCTTTTGTGGAGCAATTTATTTTCCAGCCGGCAGCAGGCGGAGAGGATCCATCCTGCAGAGAAATGAAGCCGTTGGATGAAGGAGTGTAAGGTAAGAGAGGGAATAAGGAGGACCGGGAGAAGATGTGAGATGGAGAGAAGAAATACAGATATATGGATTTTTAAAAAATGTACCTCACTTAAATGTACACATGCAAGAGGGTTGATTCAGATTTAAATTGAGAGCCTGGTGAAGGTTTAAAAACACGCAGTAGAAGGCAGGAGAATCAATAGGAACTCAACAGAGATGTAAACAGGATACCAAACAGAGAAGGAAAAGCAAGTGCTTGCTGAAAACCATGAATAGTGCAAGAACTCAACATAACAACTATAAGACAGACTATGTGTGCAAGTGTGTGTGTGTGTGTGTGTGTGTGTGTGTCTTAGTGGGGGGTATGATAATCTTGGCAGAGCCATTTTAACAGCTGCAGTGTCTGCAAGCAGAAGCAGCAGCCTCAGCAGCATAGGCGGCTCCAACATCTGTCTCTGCTGTGCCCTTTAGATGGCTGCAGATTTGCAGACTCTCCACCACAAGTGTCTCTCTGATTGGCTCAGATCTGAGCTGTATTTAAGGACCAAAGTGTGATTTAAATAAGAGCAGTGCAGTGTTAGTGGCGGATCCTGCAGTAGTGTTTATATATCATGAAAAATCAATAAGGTTTATACTGATTTATTATGGCTTTACAGCAGTCCAGTCTCTCCTTCTGAATGAGGGCTTGTGTTGATCTTCCGAAATGCCAAACAGACATAATTATATAGGAATAAATACAGCTCATCTTTTGTGTGTGTCTTAAACCCAGAGAGAAGCATGCCTAAATATAGTTACTGCTTTGTGAGGAGCTGAAAAAGGTTGAGCAAGGTGAATTCGTGAGAATCAATGAGTCATGATGGGTGACATCATCTTGCAGCCAAACTTTGTTAGAAAGCAGGACAAATACTCCAGGAAATAGCAGAACACCAAGTGCCCCAAACTCCGTCTGAGAAATAAAACACTGCTTTGATAAAACAGCAGTGCCTAGACATAACCAGTGACAGTGAACCAGTGAATCACACACATAAAATAGCCTATAAAACTTACTGTTTTACTAGTGTGTTCAATAACATACAGCAGACTATATTTAAACATAATCACATAACAAGTTTTGGCAACACTTTACTTGACCCCTATCTCCATAACACATTATAAATATGTATAATGTGTTATACAGACATTATAGCACTGTATAACTGTAGTTATAGATACTCATAAATGATCATAATGATTTATAGCAATAATCATAGCACATTATAAAGCATTTATCATAACTTACACAGTCAGGTATTCTAATGTGTTATAACTGTTAACAACTCACTGAGAATGCCCACATAAATAATACATTGTACATATATTTATGATGTGTTATAATTTGCTAATAAACTTGTAAAACTATCATTATAAACACTCATTAATTATCATAAGGCTTTATAACAATAAGCATGACACATTATAATACCTGACCTTGTAAGTCATGATGAAATGCTTTATTATGTGTTATGATTATTGCTATAAAGCATTATGATCATTTATGAGTGTTTATAACTATAGTTATACAAGTTTATAAGCTAATTATAACATCATAAATATATATAATGAATTATCAATGGGGGCATTGTCAGTGAGTTGTTAACAGTTATAACACATTATAATACCTGACCTTGTAAGTCATGATAAAATGCTTTATAATGTGTTATGATTATTGCTATAAATCATTATGATCATTTATGAGTGTTTATAACTGTACTTATGCAGTGCTATAACGTGATTATAACGCATCATGCATATATTTATACTGTGTTACAGAGATAGTTGTTAAGTTAAGTGTTACCCAAGTTTTTTCAGTAATAATGCCTGTCTTACCTAAAATAATACAGGTAGGAACAAGTCATTCTGTACGATGGTTCCTTACTTGCAATACTTGGCCTTGGCCCTTGTCTGCATTGCCAATTTGCATAAATATGAGGAGTTTCAAATGCCAGCGTGAAATGAAGCCACCTGATGAACTCATCTCAGGTTAGCCATGAGTCCATTAAGTTTATTAGTCTGGCAGCGAGCGCAGGCCGTCACTCGAGGTTAGGCCTGAGAGACATCTTGCATCTGGCTGATAGCTCAACACAAATAATTCTCAGGGATGTTTGGATATGCATGTCTGGTACATACACACAGGCATGTAGATACGTATGAACAAGTAGGCTTGTTTGCAGACACAAATGAAACTAATTGCACGAAGGGAAGAGTAAATACACGCTCTAATTCATCACAGATTTGTTTTCTCTCGAATATCCGCGGCCTATCTCATTAAACCTGGATATTACTGATAAGTACATATGTCAAAATACTTAATCCATACGTTTACAGTGCTTAATACTGTTTCCTTCAGAGGAAACAAATTGGAACATAGCAATAAATGGAAATGGTTTATTATGTGAAGCATCTGGTACTTGAAAAGCATCATTACACTACTTAACGTCATTTGATTATTGTGCAATTTTGTCATTTGTACCTCCCAATGTGTTAATTCCTGTCTAAATTACAGGATGTACAGCCCCGTGGTGAAAATGCAGTATTTTGCTCCATCCTGCTGTCCTTTTTCTGCTCTGTGCTTCCATTTTTTAAGCCTCTGTCTTTTTTTCTTTATGAGCAGGGGTGGAAATGGGTCGGGACTCCCCCCCAAGGAGTTTCAGTAAAATTTAACAGGAACAGAGCCCTGTTAAGAGACTAGCTCAGTGAAGGGATTTGAGCCTCTCCGGCAGTGCTTACTCACAGGTTAGGATTACGGTCATTGTTGGGGCTTTCGGGTCTGCCAATCTTGGTAGGAGGCTGCAGAGGAAGTGTTGCCTGTGAGGCTCAGCTCGTGTCAGCATGTCTTCTTTATGGTGTTTCACCTTGCTTTAATACTCCTGATAGCAAAGCTGACAGAGCTGCTTGGTAGTGTTAGGAAATGTAAGTTGATGATTGCAGGAACATAGGAACATCCTGACCCTAACTATTGGAACACTACTATCCTAACTATCAGAACAGGGCTGAGCTTGGCATTTTCTTATCGATTGGTGATTGATAATGTGAGCCTTTATTATCTCATCTGATCATCGATGTCAGTCGTCACATGCACAATTTGCTAAGAACGCAAGTACAAGTTAATTAGCGCAACTGAGTGTTGTGGGTTTGCCTCACTGCGCTTAGATACTGTATATGATAATAGGTGGAGCTGAAGCAACGGCTTGAACTTAATTGCAAGACGACACATGCCCAGACATCCAGACAACAACAGCAACAACAACAAAAAACACTTTATGGCAGTCTACAGTAACTCTCCAGGGCATGTGGTTCAAAGACAAAGCATAAACACAAGATATTAGCATGAGCAACTCTGAGGCAAAAATGTCAGCAGTGTGAAAATATCACAAACTAGATAGAAACAAAGAGTCCAAAAGTCAGATGCAATAGGATTTTTGAGGTGGTAGCAGTACAGTTGTTTTGTATACCAATTTTGACATCTGAAAACTGAACACACGATGAAATCCAACTAAGAGAGAGGATGGAGAGAGAAAAAGCCAAACAATAGCAGAGACAAGGGGTTCAAATCATCACTTTGGACAACTAGAGCCAACTTTCTTCATGATAGGGAATGAAAGTTGTTGTTGTCTTTTGGATCTGTGTATGTCCTACTGTCTGTCCTACAGCAAAGCTGCAGAAAACATGCAAGGTGTTTTAAAACATGATGTGACTGCTGTTAGTTTTACATTTGCAGACATTTGTAGCTGTTTCTCATCTCACCGCCAAGTCTGGCTGCACACTGCGCCGAGGTGATTAAAAGTCAGTGGATATGAAAATCTGGTTTGTGAAAACAAGAAATAGATGAAAAAGGGGAAAAAATAATAAACCAAATTTATGTTTACTACTTAAAGGGATAGTCCGGCATAAATTTAAGTTAGGTTCAAACACACCGTACCACAGACACCCCTCGGAGAGATTAATTTTGCCGACCGCTTGCTTCCCTAGTTATACCAACTTTAGTAACAACCACAGAATAGCAATACACAGTGGTCTACATCTCCATGCACTAACCTCAACCAAAACGGCACTCTACAGCCACAAATAATGCTCAGAACAGCACCTAACTTCATCAACAGTACATATAAGGTCCCAGCCATAGCACTAGCCACCAAACATCTTTTTAGCTTTGCCTAATTTCTTTAGCAAAGAGACCAAACACAACTCACCCTCTCTCCTCCAGCTGCTGCTTGTCTGTGGGGGAACCCTGACAAGATGATCACCAAGTGCAGTGGAAAATTAATGATTATTACTTCATGGAAATGCAATCAGACTGAGACGCCAAGGCAGAAGAACTACCACGTCTGCAGTGCACATGCAAGATACACAATAACTCTGATTGAATTTCCGTGAAGTAATAATCATAAATGTTCTTCCTTGGGCTGCGAAACTCCACTGCACTCAGTGATCGACTCGTCAGGACTATAACTCAGTACTATTATAGACTTTTTAAAGAATGAAGAGAGAATGAATAATAAAGCCCGGTTGATTTCTTGCTTAAGTAGATTTTTACATAAATACTGCATTTACTGTGTTTTATTATATATAAAAACACATGTAAACTAGCAAATGATCTGTCCTCAAGTAAAGGGAAAGGTAAACTTAATTGGCATTTAACCCTCTGATTAACAGGAATGAATACACCCTCCACATACAGTGTAGGTTTTTGTTAAACTATAAGGATACACAGACTGAGGTCTCTTCTGTGCCTGCATGCAGTAAAGATGTTTTTCTGCCAAAACATCCAGTTTTATCTCCAACTATGTCCAATTATAGCAGCAAGACAGCACAAAATGTTTTTTTCCCTCTGACTGCACCCAACTCTAAAATTTGTCTCACTGGAGCTGGATCCAGCATGTGATCTGGATCACAGCATTGGTGTTACAGGTGTCATGGAGACAGACTACCAGCAACTTTTTACTTCCTCTCTAGAGCCTTGATTTGACAGTCTCACAGTCCTGAGCTCACCACCATGACAGACAGCTGTGCTACAGACTGAATCAAATTGAAAGTGCGGTGTTGACATGGATGAAGGGTAGAAGCCACTCAAGAGGGAGTGTTACATTTTTCAAAACTTGCTTTATGGTTTCACACAAGAGACTTCCAGCCACCTACTGGTCCACAGGAAAACACACACACACTCTCTCACATGATCAGTGGGGTGATATGCATGATGCTGTGCTTAAGCTAGTGTAAGTGCAAGTGACTAAAGCTCCCTGCCATGAAGCCTCAAAAAATACAAAGACTAAGAATTTGATGCAGTCAGGTCAGGGAAGCCGGTGCACTCGGAGAAAAAAGGAAGCTCCTGTGACAAAGTGAGGGTACAGTGCAGGTCAGGTGATGTAGTATCCACATACAAGTATTGTCGAAGAAAAAGTAGCAAGACTAGCAGAAATGGCTTGTGAAGAGGAAGTTTTAAAAGAACACTGAGAAAATGTGGCTCTACCAGAGTTATTCATGAGAGGAAAAGGGGTCCACCAAAAAATTCTGGCTGCATAAAAAACTGATTTTTTAAGATGATACTTTTTTTTTCAAGATTTCTTTTTATGGCTAAGGGTTCGACTGCCATTTCATTTGATTCATATTTGGGAATATTTTCAAGGATCCTTCCAACAAAAATCTCAAGGTGAGTTTGACAACAAGGCTGAATGTAATAAATTACCCTGTTAGAAAGCCTAAGCCTAGCTAAATAAGATGGTGAATTGCATGGGGCATGGAAAAGCTTATTGCTGGCACTTTGTTATGCTTTTTTTTCTATAGAAATGAACTGTACAGACTTGATTATCTTCAAAGTTCACCACTGGAAGCTCTCATTATGATGTTCCCACACCCTTGGACTCTTCTCTACCTTGTTGTCTGAAGACGGCTTTCAATGAAACTGGCAGACCTTGACATGATCCAACAAACTGCTTTTTCTCTCTGCTATGCCATCAATGCTGTAGACCACTTAAGTTTACCAGATATTCCCTCTGGACCTACACGATTCTTATCCATTAAAGGGATATTCCGGCATAAATTTAAGTTATGGTCAAACACCGTAACGAGTTGCCAAGTCGATCACCAAGTGCAGCGGCAATTTTATGATTACAACTTAATGCTAATGCAATCAGACTGAGACGCTAAGGCAGAAGAACTACCGCATATGCAGTGCACATACAGGAAACACAAGAACTCTGATTGCATTTCCATGGAGTAATAACCATAAATGTTTTTCCTTGAGATGCAAAATTTGGATGCACTCAGTGATCGACTCGTCAGGGCTCCCCCACAAACAAGTGGCTGCGTGAGGAGAGTGGATGAGTTGTCTTCAGTCTCTTTGCTAAAGAAATCAGGCAAAGTTAAAGAGATGTTTGGTGGCTACTGCTATGGCTGGTACCCTATATGTACTGTTGATAAAGTTAGGTGCTGTTCTGAGCATTATTTGTGGCTACAGAGAGGCTTTTTGATCGAGGTTTACGCATGGTGGACGTAGACTGCTGTGTATTGCTATCCTGCAGTTGTTGCTGAAGTTGGTATAACTAAAGAAGCAAGCAGTCGGCAACAATTATCTCTCGACAGGGTGTTAAACTCGGTGTTATGCTGTGTTTGACCCTTAATTAATTTTACGCTGGGATGTCCCTTTAATTTTAAATGAGTTTTTGACTGTTTTTATAGCTCCTTATAGAACTTTGAATAATAGTATTTGTGATAAATCAGTCAAATGCTTTTGTGGAATCTGATCTTTCCTGCCCCATCTGTTGAACACAAAGTACTCATGGAAGACAAAGGCATTGCAGAAAAAGTGAAGGGGATGGATGAGAGCCATGGAACTACAAAAAAGTACAGAACTTCAATGGAACTTTACAGACATGGTTCAAGCTGTAACCCTTTGTGTTGGGTGATAGATGGAAAACCAGGGGTTCAAGGTGAATCATTTCAAAAACAGATAACAACCAGAGCCAAAACAAAAAAGAGCTCCTCTGAGATGAGAAGATAAAAAAATGAAATAAACGGGGATTGTTAGAGCACTTTTACTTCAAAGTGTGGGAAACGCTTGGCTAGCTTAGGATGCCTGCTCGCCCCCTTCAAGAGATGCTATTGATCTCATGAGGAACTTCACAAAAGAACGATAACCCAACACAAATCTGAAGGGCTCTTCACTCTTTCAATACTCCCATACATCCTCTTATCCTCTGAGAACCAGAAAGCTTGAGACAGACTGGAGGGAGGGAGATGAAGATGGAGAGAGGGCTGAAAATGGTGAAGTATGATTTATGAGCACTCCTGTTTTCATTCTCCCTGCTTCCCTGTTGGGGGGTAAACAATACTGATTCCTATATGGGGATGTGTGGATAGTCCCTCTTTCATTCTGGCCTATCTCTCTCATGCACACAAGCTCAGTGGGAGAGGAGGGCCCTCTTCTGTCTATACCTTACCCCTCCCTCCTCCATCTTTTGTCTTTAACCCAGAGATCTATTTGTGCTGACTTCTTAAAAGGCCTTCGGGGTGTCACTTGGACAGAGTGGATGGGCCTAATTGCATTTAGCAAAGTGGCAGCCGATCTGTACAAGCGTAAATGGATTGAATGCTTTTTTCTCACTTTATTCAATCACTCCTGTAATGCACCTCTGTCACTTTGTAAAACTCTGTCACTTTGTCTGATTCAACATTTTCTTCAATTCAACGTTAGTTCTACATGCATCATATTGACCAGCAAATGCTGACACTTAAACAATCCTCAAAGGCCATTTGGGGAGTGCTGTAAACTCCCTGAACCCGTCTGTTTAGCAGCCAGCAACAGCATTTCCACATTTTCTACTTAATGAGTTGGTCTTTTATTCATTTCACAGCAAGAGGTAAATCATAATGTCTCCCTAATGTCTTTTACTTCCACTACTGCAGTGTGGGAATTTTATGCAGAGCAGCAGACGCCCACTCACGCGAGTCTTGTTTAGTGCTTTTCATAACGGAAATCAATGAGCTTGATGGTCATAAACTGTATTTGATGATCGTATAATTTCACCTCAATAGCTACTCAAATCTAATCAACTCTCAAACAGAGGCTCTTTGTTTTAATAGTTCAATATCAAGTGTATGGCTGGAGGCAGTCTCCCCTGGTGGTCTATCTTATCTATAAGCTGTTGACACTACATTGAGAGCTTGTGCACTGAATATTTACTTCACTTCACTCTTCATCCTCCTGTCATGTCCTCACTGCTCTCAGTTAATCCCTTAAACCTGCCATGTACTATCAATACATGTATCTTTATATTCATCTGTATTTAAATGACTATGGAGCCAAACCAGAAGTGGCAAGAGAAAGTGAAGACTGTGTCACTTATTTTTGTCTTACTACAAGTGACATCTTGGTGTAAATGTGAGTTGAAGTTTAACTGCTAATAAATGAACAAGTGCCAAAACGTTTTGTCTTTGAATTCAGAAAATAGTGCATAATATTACTAGCAAATGGTTTTATTCAATTAATTAAAAAGAGTTTGTTTTTGCCAACAGCACAGGAGGTCAAGACAGATATGAACCCGGTGTGTTGAGCCAAGAACTAATCTCTATTTACAGTAGGTAACCATGGGACTGGGTTGCAGAACCAGATTCTTATTTTTGTATTTAGTCCAGGTGGTATTCATTGTTCCTGTTTTATCTGTGGCAGGGGAGATGGTGGTTGAAAGGGGGGAAGCTATATTGAAAATCTATAAATATATCTATACAAACACATCCATATGCCATCAGTCTGTATATGCTTATACCATTATCGGGTTAAATTCTTTCATAATTGTTCTCTGTTCGCCAATGGATTTTAGCATGTCCCCCTAGGCTCCATCTTTTTTTTTTGCTGTATGTGTCTGTGCCTTTGACAGCATTCACAAGCAGCACATTTTACAATCATGCCTAAGTATAACAATGGTTATATTATCACACTAGGTTATCTTTGTGTAGATCAGGGTGGTTAATGATGTATTATTTCACAAGAATCAGAATAACAACCATCAACTATCAACTAAACAATCAGCTGCTTAGACAACAGGGCTACACAAAGGGTTCTTATTTAGTATAAGACACTGCAATCAAATATATGCTCTACCTGCAGATTATCAGGCAGAGAGCAAAGAGAATTAGTCTGGTTTGTTGACTGTGTTTGTGTTCTTACATGGATAAAATGAATAAATAGATAAAAATGACTAGTGGTATATTTGGGCAGCCAAAAAGGATGTGGTACTGGTGTTATGCACCAGCACACATTTGCAGTTTCTTCGATATATAATCAGATAATAGGCAGTAGATTCAGATATTAAAATTATGTAAATATAATTATTTAAGGAATGTTGGTTTGGCCAAATGGTTAAACTACCTGATGTACACAGAGGCTGTAGTCTTGGAAGAGAGTTGCCCAGGTCCATAATATCCACTGATCTATCTTCTAAATAAAAGACATGTACACTTGAAATATACACAATTAAACAGGTAAAATTATACCTATTGAGTTTGTTTATTCAAGGAGAAAAAATGTCCAATACACTGATGTAAAAAAAAAAAATACTGCAATATTTAAAATTATAAGCATAATTGTCCTTGTTAAGATACTTAGAAGCAACAAAACATTAACAGTTGATTTTCAAGCTTGTAAATAAATTAAACATTTGGAGAGGACACTCAATATATTTCAATTAAACTGAGATTTTTTTTACAACTAGCAAACCAAGATAAGATCAAATACAAATAAACTGTTTTTAATTAAAATAAATCCTAAAAAGCACTCCTGAAAAGTCTCTAAATTCATCTTTTTAATTTTGTCAAAGTGCAAGGCCCTCAATATCCAGTCATGGTGAGTGCTGTTCAGAGCTGAACATCAGCGCACTTGTCAAGATGAACTCTGGCATAAGAATCTCTTACCTAAACTATCTAAATATGTAATTCAGGGATCATGAGTTTTCTTTTTGACAAACTGATCCATTTTCAGACACTGCCAGTTCTTTGAATATTAAACTTAGTGTTCAATTTGTTTACATCCTTTCTGTAGTTCTTGTTTAAACCTTTTATGCTTTTCTTCACCTGTCTACTTGCCCATCATCACCACTAAGCCATTTTCCTCTGCACATCACCTGTCTCACCATTTGCTTCCTCTGTAAGGTCACGCTGTGCAACGCACTGTGGACAGATGTTTTGGGAACATCTGCAACCTTAAACCCTTTGGATTCATATCTTGCTTTGACTTCTTTCATATTTAACACCTGCAATCATGCTTGTTGACCTATAAAAACTGTATTCACCTCATATTGATGCCTCACCTGCCCACCTGCTTTTGGGCAACTGTGACTCACTTCCTCCCCACCATCTCCCCTCCTGTGTGACCTTTCAGAAGTGCACCTTGGCAGTCTCCGTCTTGGGGGGTGCCATGCCTCCTTGTGTGGGTGATAATAACTGTTATCATGACTGTGAGGACACACAGGCAGAAGGAGACGGTGGGCATACATTACAGTGAGATGTGGATAAAGGGAGGGAGCAGATGGAAGAGGAACAGCATGTTTTTACAGCACAAATGCAGGTATTCAGATACAGTATAGTAGTTAAATATAACTGTCAGTTAGGTGCATTCAAAGGGTTGCCTACAGTCTGATCCAGCCTGAACATTTATTGTCTGTTTTTGATACAGTTGGGAACACTGGAAATATTCTATGTATTAACAGGGTTCAAAGAAACCCTATACTGAGCAGCCCCTTTAAGTACGGCCAACACAATTGGACCACACACATGTATCTCACCAGCTGTAGATGCAGATGTTTTTCAGTCTGCCTCCTTCATGTTAACAGATGGAACATGTGTCAATCAAATAAGAGATCAAATGACTTGTTCTCACATAATTTAGATCTAAAAAATTACTTTTTTATTCTTAACAGAAAATGTAATAGTGGGATAAATTAGTTCCCTTTAAAATGCATTGATTATTGAAATGTAATTTAACATTGTTTGATTCATATTGCTTTAATATTAGAGAACTCTCCAGTTAAAGTTATTTTCATATAGCGATGAATCATACTTTACTTAATCCAACGCTCTGTTGCCGGCTTCTCCTAGCAACTGGGCTACTGCAGACTATCTGGTTCTGAATAACATGAGAAGTTTAACCTTATGATGCCTTTAGCTCCAGGAAACCCTCTCTGACTTAATCATTATTATCATTAGGCTGTCAGAGCCTGTGGATTCTTGATTGAATTGATAATAACTTCATTTAACTTTGAATGACAGGTAAGGTACAAAGGATCGGAGCGTGAGCGCCATACTCTCTCTGCCAATCAATGGTTCCAACATGAACTGGAAGTTTGATGAGTTCTTGTAATAGACAAACAGAAAGCAGTGAAGCTGAGGCCCGCTACAGGTTGTTGATAGCTGAAGAAAAACACACTTCTGAAGGGTCTTATGGTGTGGCAAAGAAGTCCACAGAGACATGTTGATACTTTTGACACCTTGAATTTAATTTATGAGGGCCTAAAAAAAGTTTTTAAAAGCCTTAAACGTGACTGAAAACGGGGTAAGAACTTTGTTAGATGTTAAATGTGCATACTATACATAAATGAATGAATGAATGAGCAAAAGAATAAATACATTCATTTTGGGGGGTCAATTTTATTCTTCTTTTGTGCTCTCTTTTTTCCCCCTGACTTTTGTCATATCACAGCTTATTACCCTTGATAAATATGCATTTTTTTTTCTGCTGCATTTCTTTTCTCAGTTTGTGTATTTTTGAAATTGCGTCTTCTATGTTATACATCTACAGTATGGAAGTATTGCAGCTTTTCCAGCCATGTTTTCAGTTGCAGCTTTTCTCCTTGTTTTACTTTAGATTAATGTGTCTGATGCGTTGAAGCTTTTTTAAATCTTATTTTTCGAAGGAAGCATGAGGGTATTGCAGCCTGATTTCCCTTGTTAGCCATGAAAGTTTCACTGGCATCATGATCGCTTCAGAATCAAATTCCTTCCAAAACTTTTGCTCTGTGCTGTGATAGACATTACAAAGCCATAAAAGGGGCTTAAATATGGCTTTGGAATTTAGAATTGTACATTTTTCTGTAAAACATCTTCCATGCCATTTTCTTCTGATATGTCTCGAATGTCAAATCTATTCATCGGTCTTAAATTAGAGTGCACCTGCGAGCACATGTGACTTACAGTCTTGTAAGTGTAATTACGACATAGAATTACTGCTCACTCAACCTTGAATCAATATCCTTCCCTCTTGAAACACATTCATCTCTGTAAAAAGCAATTAAACACTGACAAATCAAAGACTACATTGTATGATATACCCTGTCTGAGAAGCCTGCAGTGAGAGGTCAAACACTGAGCGACATGAAAGATTAAATGTATCAATAATACATGCGGGCAGAATGATTCAGCGGGGGCACATAAATGAGGCGTCACTGCCTTGTCACATTGGGGAACAGGTGTGCCGCAACAGAAGCTCCTGTCCCGCCGCATAAGGCACGTTTTTTTGGCATGTCAAATGAGCAGGTGTTGTGTATAATTTATCTTTGTTCCATATTTCATGTACAGGAGCCGGAGAGTGGGTTTTTTGGAGTGTGCTCGGGGGCCTGTCTGAAAAAACGCTGCCAGCCTTCTGGCTCAGAGTGCTAAACCTCATCAGGAGGTCTTTCAGCGGGAGTCTTTTTTTTTTTATGATGTGTGTTTATGTGTTTTTGTATACGGCCTCTGTGAATATGTGCATGCGTGTTTATCATCTTACTCTATATGTGCCTCAAATGACTTGTTTTTCCAGTCATGACCAGGAAACAAGATTTTGACACAGTGATCCGCAAACCTCCAACTGGATTCTGCTAGTAAATAAAATACACATTTCTCTATTACTCAACTCTCAAATGTATTTTTAATCCCATCTCAAAGGAGCTGCAAAAGCCAAAAGAGATGAACATGAAGTAGAATACTGGATAAATCCACAGAGCCAATGGGTATGTACGTGAACCAACTACCAAACTTTTCAATTTGCTTCTCCCATTTCAATATTTTACAGTCGACTTCTACTTTTTAAAAAGGTGTTAAGGAATGACAGCCATACTGTGTTGAATTATGAAGTTAATAATAAGGCACAAGGAAGACAAAAGCCTTCTTTTATATGAGTTACAGCAGATTCTATTAAGTCAGCAAATAGTGGTTCAGCTGCACCACTTGAGGGGAAAAGTAAAGAATCTTTTTTCCACCTAATGGCCAACGTCTCCTTTAACAGCAATAAAGTGAGTCGTTGATCTGTCACTCAGATGCCTGGAAGGAATTCTGAACAATAATTGTTTCAACTCAGGCAGTAATTCATGTACTGTAAAAGCTCACCGAGGGTTTTGTTCTAGTGTCAGCAGGTTTGAAAAGAGGTCTGACTTTATGGCAGAATTTATTGATAAGACTGTGTTTGAATGTATTTTTCATTTGACACAGAATTTTGATGAAAGGCAAAACTTCAAAGCCAAAATATACTTGGCTGATAAGACATTATTTAAATGAATATTTTATTCAGAACAAAAGTTTGAAAGGGACTGTTTGCAGTTGAGAAACAAAAGAAATAATCAATCCAATTGGCTGTCCAAATACCAAACAAAGTAAAGATGCAGGCTTTTGTATTAGCATGCCAAAACCTACATCTTCTAATTCACTGAAAGGCTGGTTATCAAGATGAATGAATTTGCTGGTTTTCTTGTTAGGCTCTGGGCCATCCCTGCTATATTTCTTATTTTTCTTAATGCCTCCCATAAGTTATTCATTTGAATGACTAAAGTGAGGTGGCTGATGTATTTTGCTAGTGCAGATGCTTTTCTGTGCTTTCTGCTCAGAAACTCCTGGAGCTGTTCAGGGTGTAGAAGTTTTTGTTTTTTGTTTTTTTTTGCTTCACCCTTCATCACATGTGCTTTACAATCATTGCGAGTAACTATTTTGATGTCTGCTGCAGACAACTGAAAACACTTCTCGATGGCCATCATACTGCAGCTTGTTTTTGTCGCTGTCAAAGCATGCCCAAAAGTAATGGTCAACTAACTGGCTGAACATAGAGCATAAAACTGTCAAATCTGCCAATGCGGATAAACTCATATTGAGCTAAGTCAGGGGGCCAAGCTTTTTTTTTAACCAAAGTCCACTATTAAAGTTACCACTCTGTCAGGATCTGCTAGTTTCAGCATTGAACACATAAGCACATGAATAGTCTATGAGGCTATTCAATATAGACACAAGAGAGGAGTAAACTAGTTAGCAGAGCAGCTCTACAATTTGGACGAGTAAAATAAATGTTTGTCTCTACCTAAGGAGCGTCTGTGCATGTCTGAAATATTCTGTGATGCACATAAGTGTCAGGATATGACTGAGTGTAAACAGGGGAACAATGGTACACAATGAAAAATAAAAACTTGAATTGACTTTACAGCGTTCAGGATCGACTAGGAATCAGTCTGTGGTTGATGAGTCCAGCTTTCAAACCATACAAGAGAGATGATTGACTATTGAGAGAGGCAAAAGTGGTGCACTTAGCCAACATGGCCCCACTGTCCTGAAAGCATAAATTACAGCTAAAGAAGTTTCATGGTGTTGGAATATTTTGTCTACTTGGTGATTCTTAGATTTGGTTCGAAAATTAATGACACATATTTATGTCATGTGACAACCTCACATAAATCTCATGGACTTTAAATCATCCTAAACATGAAAAAGACTAGATTCAGGGTCAATTTACACACTTGAGGTAAACCATGACTTTAAACCCAAGTGTTTTGTAATGGATAGATCATCAGTTGTTGTGTTAAAAAGTGGAAAACTTAAAAAAAGAAGTTTCATGCGTTTGTGCTTCCTGGTTTTAGATAGGTTGATAATGGGAACAGGAAACAGACGAAAACAAAGCTATTGCAATTTCTAACAAAAAAGCTGAGATTATGCACTGATTGTCACCATTGGTCCCATTATTATGTCCACATACAGCCCTCTTATCTATACAGCCAGCAAACATGCAAGAGGAACAAAGCTGGGATCAATACAGAAAATTTTCTCGCAGGCTCAAGACCCAACATTTACAGAGTTTAAAACGATTAAGACGTAATTGCTTTGTTAACTCTATTCTTACAGGAACCTCTAATTCCATTTTGAGAGGATATACGGCAAAATCCCTTATTATACCACTTATATGCGTTTATGTTGTGCAGATCCCGCTGTGTGATTTAAATGGGATCAGACAGTTACACAAACAACAATTAAAAGCTTGGTTAAGTTTGTTCTTCCTGATTACCATTGGGGTTGCATCCTGCATACAAAGCAGTGCCTCCACAGCAAATGTCTGTTGATATGCATTTGTTATGATCAAGGCTTCATTCAAAAAGCCTCCTCTGTCCCTCCCACTACACGAGACACTCTCATCCAAGGCCTTCGTGAATAAGGCCAGTCTCTTTACAAAGACAGATGGCTGGAGTCTAGTCAGAGAGGGACTACCAGACGCCTGTGTTTGTAGTCCTCTGTTCTTCAGTCATAACAATGTACAGTCAAAAGAGGTGATAGATTTTGATTGGGAAACATGAGGACCATCAAAGGCCTGCCAGGGATGTAACACATCATCTGCACAGGAGGCCAAACATGGGGCCTCCAACTGTCACAGCCATCCTTCATGCTTCTGGCCGAGATGGGACAGTCTGATTGCCTTGCAAGGTGGCAGCATGAAGACAAATGGAAAACCAGAATATGTTAAGGGTAGCACAGTGCAGCATTCTTTAACGGGCTCAAGTCTGTATAAATGTCAAAGAAGATGGAAGGTCTTCTGCATGGGGTATTTCCCCGGAGCCACTGTTGCAGGGTGAAACTATACACACAACTTAGATAGGATTTGAACTGCTTGAGGGTCATAAAACTTTACTTTCAGATAAAAGATTTGAAATGGAATCCAGAAAAACACCAACACATTTCTTTCTGCATTATTAGGCAGTAATTCCTGTCTTATGAGGGAGACAACATCACTACCAACTAAAAATAATATTTTAAGGCAAATAAGCCCCCTTCAATCCCGATTCGTGTAATTCTGATCATTCATGATTCAGTCCATGAAGGTGGTTGACCGAAAACTGGTTGAGGGCAATAGGTCCATTGAAGCTCACGACTACAACCATTAATTTTACCAACTCAATTACCATGATGATAGTGACAGCTAGCTGATGAAAACTGGGCACTCAACTGTACATGACCCTGGAGCTCTGGGGTAGTCATTTGAGGTCCTGAGCGTGGACACACCTGCTCTCTCAGGTCTTTTATTGTTCCTAATATTTCCTTATACTCATTTCCATTAATTCATTGACTTCCTTTTTTCCCATTAGATAATTTCTTGTTTATTCAGTTTTATTATACATTTCTTGTTTCTTAAAAAAAGTGCATCATGAAAAGGTTATTTTTATTTGATTTACTGCTCACAAACTATGTATCTCAGGCTTCTAGCTTAGTTTTAGTGGTGGTTTCTTAAAAGACCCTTTCAAACTTTAATTACTATGAATCTATTTTTTTCTAATAGAGGAGCCCCCCAAGAAGCTTTCGCCACTGTAGCCACGCTCCAAAATTGTCCTAGTTTAGTTCATCTCCTCAAAATGACAAAAAATAAATAAATAAATGAATAAATCAACTATGTGTTTTGGACCCTTAAATTCACCTGGAGACTTCAAAAGAGAAACAATAGAGAAGGCCATTTCTATTTAATTTGATTATTGTGTCTATATTGCACATTTAAAGAGAGTCTTCAATCTGTGATGTCACAAATTGAGCGAGCCGCCTTCCCTGCATTATTCTTGTATGACTTTTTGAATAGACAGTTCAGAGAAATAGTCAGTTTTATTCTAGGATTACAGCACATTTACCTCACAATTTAACATTTTACCCACATTTAGTATCAACATCAACTATTTTCCATCAAAAACTTGTTTTTAGAATACGAAAAGCATGATACTATCTCTTTAAAAGGGACTGGTAAGATCGCTTAGAACTTTACACAAGGTGAGCGGGGTTACCAGCTCCAAATGGTAACACACAGCAATTACACTGGTTAGACTTCTCTTTTTATTCATTTTTGCAGCCTTACCCACACAACTGTAATTGTCAAACCTTTGAAACCATCTGTGACTCATTTACCAGCATGCTCTTTAAGTTATAATTGAGGCTTAGTGTCTCATAACACTTGCTACAAAGTTCTGGGTAATTGTTGCCATACACGTATCTCCTAACCAGTTACCTTACAATGTGTCCACTAACTGAGGCATTATATAACTGGTTTTCAACATATGTGTGGGTCTATAATCATTCAGGCAGTATTTGTTGGCTTTTCCTGAGGCAAAACATTAAACTCCCACCTGCTTACTCATTTTGAGCAACACTGGATGAACATTTCAGCGTATTGTCTAAAATATAAGTGTGCGGTGAGAGGGAAAAACAGCACAATAATGCAATAAAGGCAGTACAGATGGTTGTCATAAAAACTACATATTACCTTTAGTGTTGATGCCAAGAACAAAAGTGTTTTTCTAATCTAATTTGGACCAATATCTTGTACACAGTCTTTGTTATTTTTGATTGTATGATGTTTTGCAATGATTTGTTGTTGTCTTTTTTTTTTCTTTCGCACAATGAGATGCAGTCTACTCAGTGGCTGGAGATGCTGCTGCCTATAAACTGTTCATTAGCTCAGGCAGTGACCCTGGGCCTGTTTTGCTTGTGACTCATCTGTCTGAAATTCATGAACACTGCACAACACTACTCCCACGGATGCGAAAATTAAAAAAAGAGAAAACTCGAGAATCCCAATAAATGCTTTCTTTGCCAAGCTTTACAATCTCCCTGAAATATTGCTCTGAATGTGCATTGTTCTGCTGTTATGTGAAAATATTGCTGACATATCATTGGGAGGCTTGGGGATACTATTTTACACAAACAATGCTATCCAATTTCTTGAAATGGTACACTGATCACTTGGTGCGTGGTCAGAATTGAATTTTTCTGAAATGTGATATTTGAAGCGACTACATCTCAGAGAAGGCAGAGTGAGGGGAAAGAGTCGTTCATAAATCATTTCTTGACATTGCTGCTTCATTACCCCAAACTCACTTTCTTCCAGCTTCTCTCTGTCTCTCATCAAAACTCCATAATCCCTGTCAAAGCTGTTTGGATTGTAGGTTAAAAGTAATTCACAAACAGGACGAGAGAGAGTGAGAGGACAGAGGGTAAGGGAGGTATGGGGAGGACTATAATTTCCTCTACATGAGCTGTGTTTCACAGACTTATGATAATAACCTCTTGACTATAGCTTCCACTGGCTTCATACCTTTTTTAAATAGGTGCTGAGAGTGTGCAGATAGAACAAGTTTGTAATTATAACGCTCAGAGAGCAAAGAATCACACCCTACATGAGCACATAGGAGAGCTGATCATTGGATTCCTGAGGCGGCCATTGGAGCCCCTTTTTTTTCCCACCAGAAATGTCAGCTTGATGGATTCAAGTCAAGGTCAAATTTGAAAGCTCTGATTAAAAACGCAGTGGCGATATGGATCAAAAGTTGCCTGAGCAGAGAAAAAGCAGAGTGCAGCAGAGGAGGGTAAAACACTGTTTCGGATCACTGCAATCTAAGATCATGGCAAAATGGCTTTTTGACAACAACAGTAGACAGTTCAAAGTTAAAGGTGTTGGATCAAGTAGGCAGACGAAAACAGATCAAATCTGAAGATGACTATCCTTCAGTGCACCTGAAAAAACAAATACTTATGAATACTATTTATTCATTTATTTTTGGTAGTTTGAACTATTCCTGGCTTTCATCTGCAATGCGCTGTAGCCATGGGAACAACAATTCTCTTTGATAACCTAGTTAGTTCTTTCCACCTGCCATGCTCTCCAAGTTTCTCAAGTCAAAAAAACATCAACCCTCTACAACTACGATGAAAAAGATACCACTCTGCTTGACAACCCATCACTAAAAAGAAGATTATTTGGCAAATGAATTAGCTAGTACAGCCAAGATAACAGTATTAATGTGATAATGTGATCAAACTCTTTACTTCTCCCCTACTCCCAGCATGTCCAAATAAAACAGTCTGGGGTTCAAAAATACCGACATAGCCACAGCCAAAATGAAAAATAAAGTTTCATCAGGGGATGTTACAAAGCAACTTATTTCCAAATGATCTCACGACTCTGAAGGTAATAAACACCCAGAAAACAGTCAAATTTTACATAGCTAAACACAGGATCAGTCTGCAGGTAAACAATGTCAGCTTTGTTTACCCAGTGTGGCTAATGTTGGCAGTACAGGTGTCATTAACCTTCAGTCTTCTTTTAAACTAAACATCCACACATCTGTGTTGATCATACATCGCTCAAGTCAAGTAGTCATTAGCCAGTTTGACAACATACAGCCTACTTATGACATTACCCAATGCCTAGATCAATATACTGCCAAACTAGACTGTGCTACACCAGTTATCTGTGCTTCTTTACATACAGGTAGTAGAGCAGTGTGACAAATAAATTCAAGTTTTTTGAACTGGGGACTTTTTTAAACTGTGATACACCTTGAAAATCCTAACAGGAGAATAATGCAAACCAAACGAACTTTGTAATAGGTATTCAAATGCTCTCTACGGGTATGTGTTTGTTAATCATCGGTCATTGCACCAGCTGTGTTGTAGCATTATGGAATTATTGTAAGTCCCCCCCACTGCCACTGATTTAGACTGTTTTTATCATCAGCGATAAAACAGGGATAGAAGCAGTGTTGTTTTCGTTGTTAGCGTTTGACTGTTGAAATGCTCATGAATTTTGCAACTCTGTTCGTCGGCCACCACTAACTGTTTTTTTGTCTAGTCTGGTCAATGTGCACATTCGTCTCGTCACACTTTTGTCATCTAAGACTTATGTTTAGCTCGTCAACGTCATGTCTTCGTCGTGGAAAAAAGGGGCGTTGACGAAATATTTTTGTCAACGGAATCAACCAGTGTTGTTTTCGTTGATGATGACGAAATATTCATCAACGTCATCGTCAAAGAAAACAACACTGGATAGAAGCTTCAAGAAGTGTAAAATACAGCAGTGCCTGGAAGTTTATTTATTCTATTTTAACTAGGGTTATAAATTCCACTTTCATATTGCAAAGTCTATGATGAAGTATTGTTCACCTCCTACACCCAGGGGTTGGTAAAAGTAATGTACCGTACTTAGACTGACTTAAAGTAATGTTTGAATTTTACTTAGATTGGTATGCAGGTATGCACAAAATTGTAAGAGAATCAAGAAATCATTTAATTTCTGCAGGTGTCAAATCACCTCAGGGGCTATTAGAAGTCATTTTTTTTATGGTAAGCAGTAAGTTAGTTCTGCTTTCTTAAGATTTAAATGCTGCCATTGTAATGACACGGTAAATTATACCAAGAGGTTAAGCAGTTGAGACGCTGGATAATATTGTCTTTGTAGGAATCTGAGTGGACTAAAAGCTTATGATTGTAGATCAAGGACCCAGCCAGCTTGAATCCTGGGAACTTGCAAAAATCATGCCTTGTGCAGTGACATTGTGAGGCAGTGTGCACTAGCTTTGTTGGCAATAAGTGATTCAGATAAAAGCAAACAAATGCTGCCTGAAGAGATGTCTGATGGTAGCTATCCATGGTGCTGAATATAGACTTAGCTGCAGTTCTCTCTCTCCCTCTCTCTCTTTCACTCTCCTCTTTTTTTCACCTTCCCCTCTGTCACTCTGCAGGTCTGCCTGCGTCCATCTGCCCTGGGCCTGTGTGTAAGCACACACAGTCAGTGTCACTCACGACTGTCAAAGCAAGGCTGCAGCAAGCACCTCCACCACACAGCAACTATAATGTTCGAGACAGGTGAAATATAGGCAATCTCTGTGTGCACAGTGTCAGACCTTGCAGTTAATATGTCCTTATAATAGTTGCAATACAAGCCCTAAAAGTCTGCAGGCAGAAGACACACAACAACATAGCCATGACCCATTCAGATGGATGTCAGCTCAATTCACACTAACATTGGCCTTTCCTATCACAGACATACATCAAGCCTTCCACTATCTTCATAGGAGAGAAGCAGCTGATGGGATTGGATTTGTGGGATGCAGCAAGGCTGCTGCGGTGTATTTAAAGGCACAAGTAGATTGACAGCCCAGTAGCGTAGCAATCTAACAAATATACTGTTTCCAGACAGACATTCATCAACTTCAACAAGGAGCATATTCCCTAAACCACATGCAGGGAATACTGTCTCAGACATCTGAAATAGTCTCATGCATCAACTGAGGAACAGATAAGAAATTCCCATACATACACATATATCATGGAAGCGCACTAACAGAAAAATGTGTTGGTGTGCAACACTGAAAGAGACTGCTGATGGTAAGCAAGAGACATGAGTACAGTGACCATCATCCCACTATGATATGTAAGCATGTCAACATTTGTGTAGCACCATTCAATATAGAATAAAAATAAATAAGGCTAATTCAGTTATAGATTTTCATGCATGTATTTTGCAGTATACTTAACTGAATTATGAATTGTGTGCTAAAGTTCATCCTTTAAAAGTAATACATATGGACCAATTTGCAGAACAGTTGGTCTTTACAGTGTTGCTAGGAAAGAGGTCTGAGATCACCAAAGATGATGATTTTTTTGCTTTATTCATTTTGGACCACACATTTCTTCTTATTTCTACATTATTTAGATCCAATAATTACAATAATCCACACCAAAGAAGCAAACTGGCAACATCACAGGCCAGTGTTACTGTTCCTAAAGGTATAATCTTTGCATCCTTGTCACCATTAAAGCTTAACACAATTTGCTTTGCAATTCTGTAATCACAAATTTTGGACCACTTACAACAGTAGACCCGAAAACCTCAACTGATAACTTTATTCCACGGCTGACTTTAATGTGCTTTTTTTTTGTTCCCTTCATGACTGCATATATTTTTTAATTGAATTTTACTTGCTGGGCGAGTACACATGCAGCGGTGATTTTATCCATTCAAATTCATTAACTCGTCAAAGGCTTTCCTCTTTTATGTTGTGCGGTTCTGAGGCAAAAGAGGTCCTTTGTTATTTCTTCAGAAAGTAATCCTTTGTATTTATGGCACGGGTGAACAATCATAACTAATGAAGAATTACTTCAAGAGAATGAAGAGAGAGGGATGATTTTCATTTAGAATGTGTCAACAGTTTTTCAGAAGCATGTCAGACTGCTGTGGTAGTTTGGAAATTAACAGTGAGCTTAGCTTTTTTGGTGGAAAGTTTACTTTTTTTCTGTGAACCAAAAAGCTGTCACCTCCTTGTTAAAAGCTTCTGCTCTATTTTCTGCTGCATGTCACATGTCACATGTCACAATAAACATGGTGTTTATCTCACTCCGAAAGTGGTGTCTCTTTATTCATTTTATAACTAAATTATTCACTTTCAAATTGCTCTAATATGAAGCTTTCATGCATTTATACAGTATTCATTTCAAGCATTTAAAGTGAAGCCCAAGGCTCATAACCGTTTCTCTGATTCTCACAGTTAAGGATGCTATTCTGGGCTTCATTGGGCTAATTTTAACCTAGAATCTCCCTCTAGTATATCAACATCAATTAAAGATGGCCGACAGTTAACTGCACAGTTGTTCAGTTTCATTTAAATGCCATGTTAGACACTTTTACCTTAAAATACTGATGAGCAGAAGGTTTCAAATAAGAGGCCCTGCATTTTTAAATGCGTCACAGCTCAACTAGGGAACATACTGTGTAATTTTGAGAGTAAATTTCACAAGAATTTTAGTCATGCTACTGAAAAGATACTGTAATATAGTTATATGTTTGTTGTAAACTTTTAACTGTACTACTAGAGCAAATTTTTCATGAAATTCCAGGCAAATGAATTTCCCTTTGGAGATACATAAACTTATCGTATTGTATTGTATTAATGTTGTAGTGGGTTAAAAAAACTGAGATTGTTGAGTAAATAAAAAAAAACAACATATAGATGAAAAATAAAACATAAATACCAGTAAATACTGCCCTTTATCAAGTTATTGTGTTGATGGTAGCCTACCACAGAAGAGAAATGTGACATGACAAGTTCCCATCAGCAATTCTTAAAAAAAAAACATTTTCACTAACATGCTACTCCAAAGGTAAAGAAACTATTGAAACAGCTTCCATTGAATTTTCCATGATGATGAGGTGAATTAACAGCTCTCTATTTCTGCAGATGATTAGTTTTGCTAATTCTTACAAGTGAGTCATTTTACTTAATGACAGATCGATGTAACTCAACATATGAGGACATTCAAATTTTGATTTAATGTGAAAGGTACCAGAATGCTAGCTAAAGCCTTTATTAGCTAGCTTAGTATGTAGTTGCAAGTCAGGGTCAATGCTACTATGTAATTTACTTAGTTACATAGTAGCATTGACCCTGACTTAGCTGGGCTCGAAATTAGCAACAATAAGTTGTTTGCTAACTACTGACAACCTACTCTGAGTAAAAAGCAAAGGCCTACAAATGTTTTGGATATAACAATAATAATAATTATCATTATAATATCCTGTGCCATTACATCCCTCAGAAACATCTTTGGGAAAATCCACATGAGGCTAATTACATTAAATATTATGTTTCGCCCATTAAACACCAAACATGATTGGTCTTGCACACCCTACACTCTGTGGTCCCTTAGGTGTTACTACAATATAACAAGCACCTGAAAAAGCAGCAATACACTATCTTTTAATCTTATCACTTACTCAAGCATTGGATTGGTGATGGCAGCAGCATGGCGTGCATATTTACATTCTAGTCAGTGTGACAGCGATACAGACTCTGGTTAGTTCTTTGTGTGTTGAAGTGATGGGCAGGGGAATAGTGATATCAGGCATTTGTTAGAGATCAATCATGAAAAAGGGGAAAGTGGTGACATGATTCAGGTCATATGTCTGATCCTGCACGTCCAGTAATGTATGCGTACAGCAGTTTGTATGGTCAGAATATCTATTCTTCAGCTCCTACAGAAAGGTTTTGTTTTTTAAAAAAGGAAAAGTAACATGGTAACATAACTGGTTTGAACGCCTTACCAATGAAAATAATTGATAGTCCTATCAATATATTCCCCAGTGAGACCATTTAAGGTATCATTTCTCTCAGAATTTTAAATGCTTATAGTGTGTGCTTTGGAAAAGCAGCATAAATTTCATGAACAACAGTCACATGCTATAAATCTCTTTGAAGTGATAAGCCTGCAATGCCATCTCTTCCTCTCGCTGCCTAACCCATCTCTCCCCTCTCATACGTCTTTCATATTCCCTTTCATGAATAGCCTTTGCAATAGATTAAAAAAGGCCCCTTTTTTTTCTGAGAATTATTTTCCTCCTCAAGTCCCCTTAGGAAACATGAGAAAATCAGCAAGAAGAATGAGCTCAATTCAATTATCTCCCTCTGTACTCGGGGGTGCCGAAGAGTCTTTAACAAATTGGAGATGGCTAGAGTTGATTCAGGTAAATGGACTGCATCTCACTAAAGTATTTAGAGGGTGGGATAGCAAGAGGAAGACAATATCGTGCTGTTGAAAAGCTGAAGATATAATTCGCCACTGAAAGTAATAAAGCTGGAGCGGCCGCAGTGGCATTGCATCCCTCTGTCAGGAAAGCAGGAGCAAGGCCAGGCTTGCATTTGTTCACTCACCAAGCTTTACCTTCTTTGTTCACAATGCAAGATGACAGCTTTGATGTTAGGTCTTGTCTTCTTCCAGAGCTCCACATCAGACTTTAATGTAGAACCGATGCATTTGTCACGGAGAATCACAAACCTATCTGCTCAGGTTGGCTCACATGCCCAAAACTGTTGGGTCTAAACCTAAAGCAAACGAACCAGTAATTTGTCATGCAAGGCTCAGAAGAGTATGTACGGCTGTATCATTTTGCATGTGCCTGGGACTCTGCTCCCTCTTGTCAGCATCCTGACCTCAATAAAATGAGTGGGTGCTAAGCTGCAATAGATTTTGTGGGTGACAGTAAGTTACTGTGTTGAGTTGCACCGTAGCTTCAAGCATGCATATTTTTTTTTACAGACAGTATGTGTATGTTCATGTGAATGAGAAAGAAAATTATATACAGTATACTGTATTTTTAGGGCGATGAAGAGTACCGGATTGTACGATGCACTGTGTCTATGTTCATATATAAAGCGCACTGAATTGTAAGGCGCAATAAGCATTGGTTGGTTTATTGTTGGTAGTGCGTACTCCGGGCCCAGGCTCCTTTACATGAATGCACTTCTAGTTTAGACATTACAGTCAGGCAGTCTTGTAGATTGGGGTCCTGTTAGGGGGGCCGATCAGGTAGCGACACAGCATACCGTAATGATCCGAATATCCATTGAGCGAAGTGGCTTCGTTGCCTACCAAAGTCATACTTACACATTTTGGCAGATTTTTTTAACACATTGTACCACATAAAATCTGTCAGTAAGCACAACAAGTAATCATACATAGGATTGCTGGATTATAAGGCACACTGCCAATTTTTGAGAAAATTTATGATTTTAAGTCTGCCTTATAGTCCGATAAATACATAGACTTATTTATTCTTTTTAACATACATTTACTTTTAACACTTGGATTACATTTGAATAATGTTGTTTAATTTACTGATGACCATGTTTAAGGGTTCTAGTGTCAACAGGCCCACTTTCACGTAACTTTCACTGAATGTGTTTATGAACATCAGTGAAGTAATAACACATTGGAAGATGTTTGGTCTAACTCCCAAAGTAGTAAGTAGTTTATAAGCAGTATGTTTACAGCATGTTTTGAGTCTGGTTGCAGCATTATTTAGTTTAGGAATAGCTCCTCTGTATCATGTCAGATCCAGTTTGTAAGCTGGTGCCCTGTTCCTGTGGGGAGCAATTTGCCTGTTTCCCTCCAGGCTCCAGCATCAGTCGCAGTGCCGACACCTCCTCTACCTTCAAAATGAAGAGGCCTCTGCTGTGGAAATCACCTCTCAGTTTGGCCTTTCCACTCCTAGATCCCTCATCTCCTGTGCCGTAACCTCTGAAGGCACCCGCCGAGCAACCATTACCCAGGCACTGGGGCTTTAAGCAGGGGAAGATGGATCTAGAGGGTGTCCCCAGCCAAAGCTCTACACATCCCTCCTCTATATTCCACACCATTACTCGTCTGCCTAGCTTTCTTGCCTCCTCTTTCTCCCTCATTGCCTTTTTCCCCTCCTTTTTGTTTTGTTAGCCACTACAGTACGTGGCTGTAAAAAGATATAAATATCTGGAGGCGTGAGCCACATCCAATAAAACAAACTGATGTGAAGAGCTGTGACAGGCGATCACACCATTTTGAGGAGTGTGACAGCGATTTATTCGCTTGGCGAAGGCTTGTATGGCCTCAAAGCAGTTCTCTGGAACCAGGAAACAAATGAACATGGATCTCGGTAAATCATTATTTTAGGGGCAAATGTTATATCAGTTCCCTATACCGTTTCAGCTTATATTTTCAAATAAAAAGTCTGTTGTACAACAAGAGGAGTGTTAGGGTTTGTTTGCTTACACACCGACAGCAGCGCTGAAAAAACATACCTGACTTTTGACACATGCTCAAGTCAATAAGCTGCTAACACTATAAGATGTATTTCTTAAGCATATATAAACTGCTAATTATATGATGCCTCAGCAAAACAATGTGTTGATGGTGTGCTTTGATCTACAATGTGGGGGTCTGTTTGGAAAACCCAGCAGGTGGTGGGAAACAAACCTGAAAGTGAATTACTGCCCTGCCTTCCCAGTATGCATTCAGATGTCTCCGTCTCTTATCTCCTGGCCCCTGCAAAACAGCTGCTCTGCGTGCATCACATCAAAACATCACCTTTAAAGGCAGACCTCAGGAGCGTCGTTTTCAGGGATCTTTAAGGAACTGAAATAACTGAGGATTTCGCGCTGCGATTGTGCTTTTCAAATATTTTAGAGTCAGTACACGCTGTAAAACACTGTGAGTTGGGGATAACAACAGCTGCACCGGTTGAATGTCAACATATCAATTATTATGGCCTGACAACAGATGGGTTCATTTGTCATGTGATGTATATATACTGCTCACTAATGCTGAGCCCATAATTGACTCGTGAGTGGCACGTGTTTTGAGTGCAACAATCTCATTGTATATTGACTTCTTTCCCATCTCATATGACAGGACGTGTCATGTCTTGACATTGCTAGAATTTGTATATGACATAAGTGGCCTTGTGGGAATTACAACAATAGCTGAAATACATAAGCATTCAGGAAGTCAAACAAAGAATGGATCAATAAAACTATAAACGAACAGGCAGACACCTGCTTTAATTTCATAGATTTATATAGAGTTTACTCAGTGACTCTATATCCATATAATATAACCACTAGCTTACAGCCTGTTGTTTAACAGTAAAGAGAAAGATATTGCACGAGGATTCACAATCACCAATGTTATTTTGATTAACCCGCAATTCTTTAACACAATTACTCATCAATTGGGAATCATCTACATCACATGAGCTCCTGCCGAACTCAAAATCCTATTCAAAAAACACTTGAACAGTGCAAATACACATTTCTGAGCAAAATGCAGTAAACTAACTAAAGTAGAGGCGCACTCATCAAAATAAAAATGCACTGGAACACTACTGTAGAAACTTCACACCCCTAATGGTTTGTGTCTTAGCCAGGTAGCGAAATAGAGGCGACATGTCTGCAGAGGTAATAATAAAGAATTTTCTGTCTCAGAAACTGGAGACCTTACAAGGATAAAAAAGCATGTTTATTCTCATTCATCTTAGTACCAAAAACTTGTAGCTATATGAGATTACAAAAACAGGTAGATATCTTTACAAATGAACTGGTCAGCTGTTTTTTTATCATGCGCCAAGCGTGCCAAGAGTCTCAATGATAAGGTAAACAGTGGTAAGAAAATGCCACTATAATAGGTGCTTCATTGAACACACCAGTACCCTGAGAGTAGGGACAGACCAATCTGAAATTTGGCTCAGATATCGGCTCTGATATTGACAAATTAACTGGATCAGATATCTGATGAATGACACTGATCCAGTGTTCCAATCCAGTCTTTTTTTTCTTTTAATTAATATCATACACAGCAACACTGTGACTCTATTCACTCTATATTCTACGTCTGTCTATCCTTTTGCACTAAATGTTTACATGGAAGTCTTACTTCTTTTTGCTGTGTGCTAATGTGCAATTTGTTAATAAATAATATTAAGTAAATTTATATCCGTGTTAATATGTTACCTTTTTTTTTTAACAAAGCCAATGTCAAGACAGATGCCTTCACTCACAGGGCAAGGTATACAGTTCATTCAACATTAGTAACGGATCAGTATCGGATATCTGTTCGGCCCAGGTATCGGTATTGGACTGGATCAGGAAAAAATGGATCGGTGCGTCTCTACCTGAGAGTACAAAGTGTACACAGTGTACTTGGTGAACTACAATAATTTTTACTAACAAAGTGTTGAAAATAACCACGCTAAACAACCCATGGTTTGTGGTGATGTCTTCCATGACTGTAAAATACAGTTACTAGTACAAGTTCTAAGTATATATCAGGCTTTTTAAGCATTGGAGTAAGTCAGCAATATGCCAACTTGTACTTGCAGAGGAAGTATAATAGGTCACTTTATTCATTAAGTTGAAATATCTGGTGATGAAAAACAATTGTACCAAAATTCATGGAAATCTAATCTTTTTTTGTTGTTGTTTGATATTTAGGTCAAGGACCAAAGTAGTGAACTATTTGACAGGCCAACATAGCATGCCTTGTACTCAGTAGCCCGCATGGCTTTGTGCCAATAAAGTAAAAGCTGTGACCTCCTCCAAGTCAAGTACTTGGCAAAAGCACAGTACTTTTGTAAGCCACAGGTCACACCGAGAGTGTGTGGGAAAGGCTTTAAGTATGACTGAACATGCAGACACATTGAGGAGGCGCAAAGCTGCAGACATAAACACTAATGAATTAAGTCAGGTGGAAAATGTAAGCACAGTAGTACTAATTGACCTGACAGACACCTCCAGTGTGTCTCAGCCCAGAGAACTGGTGACATGGACCTCTGTGTAGCTGTCATTTGGCTGTCTAAGGATCTGAAGCCTCCTACTTTTTTCCTTTCTCCATTCCTTGTCTTTGTTTTTTTTCCACCCTTGCACTCTCTAAATATTGCTTATCCCTTTCCATCCTTTGCTTGTCCATTCATCTGTCATTCACTGAGGCCCTACTTTCTTTTTTAAACATACTCTGCTGCTATGCACACAAAACATACCACTCAGAAGAAATCCCAGTGGCGCTGTCCCCAAAAAGCCTCTTCCATCAGCCTTACATGATGCATCTAAGTGCTGGAGCGGAGATCACTGTGTGTTGGCTGACCCTCTACAGTGACAAAAAGCACACTTGCAACAGCAGCAGCAGCACATAAAAACCAATATCAGCTCTACAAGCCACACTAGAGCATTCCTTTGCAGAGCACAGCAAGCCTGAAAGCAAACTGCACTGAGAACTGTGAAAAAATGAGCTGTGAAAGTGCGTCTTATAGATATCTTAATTGAATGAGACTTGTGCAAAGAATTGTGTTACTTTCAGGCATTTTCAAACAAGCATTTGTCCTCTTTTTTTGTGTTACATTATATGATTTTACCCCCCTGACATAATGGCACTAAGGTATTGTGTACTTCTGCAATGTATCACACACCTCTTGGGGCATGGGGGCAACGATCTGGCAGTAATTGGGTTTGATTTAATGCAGTAACGTAACCAACACAGCTGTCATGCTAAAACAAGCTAGTGCACAAGAGTACCATCTATTTACCTCTGGCATGAATACGTTATCTCAAATGCACTGCCTCATGCTCTCAATTAAAAGCTCCAGTGTGCAGCAGTCATTTGTTTCATTTAATTCTATATCATTAACCTCCAATGTTTTCATAAATGAAGTTTCTGGAAGTGTAGCGGTTTAATGTGTGCACGGCCACACATGCTTTGCGGTTTTGTAAAGGAGTTTTCTTTGGTTGAGCTGAGAGGGTTGATGAATCAAATGAGACACTAAAAGACTTATAATACCACGCAGATCTTCAGGGAGGATACTGTAAATAAAACACTTCTCATGTTTTATTGATTTTTTCAAAACATACGCAACTACTGGTTTGTCGAAGTTAGCTCCAAGAAAGTCTTGCCAACTTCTCCCCTTTTTTTTTGTTGTAAACGCAGGCTGCCGCTAGATTAATTGTTGAATTAATCATTGATGAGAAAATTCAAAGTTTTATGAAAAAGAGCATGCAGGTGGTATTTGATTAGAGCGGATATGGAGCAGCTTGTCAACTAGAATAACATCATCCTTAGCCATCCCAAACCATTAGGAAGTTGAGGCCCATCTGCGCCTCTCCCCTGTGGCTGCCATGCTGAAGAATAAATGTCTGAAACACTGTGCACTGTCGTGTCACAACAGATACAGGCATCAGATGGAGGAATAGAGTAAAGTGTTAGTTCACAGCCTGAAAAATATGTGCATAGATGCACTTTTCTTGATGTTTTCCACCCAGTAGGGACTGCAAACACATGCAAAACCACATCTTATTCTGTTTGTGTGCGAGTTCATTTAACACGATGGGACATAGCAATCTCATGCGCAAACAACTGCATTCGTTTTGGCACAACACAAACACAAAGTATTTTTTTTTGTCAAGCTGCTTTCAATTGGCCAACTTAATACCCGCTCAGCTGTGTGAATCAGTTCATGAGCAGAATTTCATTTTCATATTACACGTCTCAGTTGGTCAGGTGCCCCAAAGCACAAACAGTTCCCATCTAACTCACAAAACAGGTGCATAAATCATGCAGTGACCTTTCTGTGTTGAAACAAGCAGTGACTTTAGTTGTCCCAGGGCATAACTTCTCACTGTGTGCATATATGCATGACCCATGTGTGCTAACTAGACCTCCAACAAGAGTTTGGGCCAACAGGAATTCTGAGAACTTTGTATGAAGTTTCACAGCTGCAAATACAAGTGTTGGTGTATTATCAGTGCATCTACAACACCCACGCACA